AAAATAACTTACAAATCATTCAAAATTATTAACAACGAAATCTAACTTAAATCTTACAAATAAAATATTGATCTTTATCCATTCAACAAACTTGAGTTGGTGCTACCTTCAATTATAAGAAGGAAATAATAAACTTGTAAAACGGTGAGCACTATCTCACAATCATGAAATGATTACTTCAATTAAGGCTTTGGTTGTGAAGTGGGGAGTCGACGAAAAACTTGGAATAACTCTTTCAAAACGGGAAAGGTCCACAGAGTGGTCCAAAATGGTGGGTCGTGGCCACACAAGTAGGTACCCGAAAACAACAAGGCAATGGGAGGGAAAAAAAAAACTAGGGTTTGACATTGACAATAAACCTTGCATATTGCCAGTGTTTAATGATTAGGTGTAAAAGTAACGTAAATGGTGTTGGCTTTTGAGGCCATCCATTGGACCCCGTCATTGTTTGGGAACAAAACAATAAAACTAGTGCGACGTGTAGCTAAGCGACAAGAAATTCAATTCCATGATTTTGGAATCCGAGTAATTTAATCACCAAGCCCCGAATTTAGAGACTTTATATATAGGCTAGGACTGGAGTGTTAGAATTTAGAAATTTATTATAAAAATTAATATTTTAGGGGTTGATAATTTTCCATTTTCTTTTTTTGTTTGAAAATTAGAAACAAAAATATATTTGATAACTTGCATTTTTAAACTGAAAATAAAGTTTTAAAAATTATTGAAAACAAAAATAATGATGTTTTCAGATTTTTTTTAAACAATTTCGGCACTGTTACACAGTACTATTCACCCATTCGGCTACAGTGCCACTGCAATACTATTAGCGTTCAAAATTTTCGCTCTTGCCTAGATTCGAGCCTCTTCCATTTAGAATACAAAAATTTTAATCATTTTTTTTACATGTTTTTATTTTTATATTTTTAAAATAAAAATATTATATTCAAACATCTTTTGTAATTTAATAAATTAAAAATAAAATAAAAATAAAACAAAACATAAAACATAAACACACACAACAATATCAAATAATCCCTTAATTCATTGGATGGTTTTCGTTGGCATTACATCTTGCATTTATCAAAATCAATAGTATCCGATGAATTTGAAGAAAGGGATTCAAATCCAACGTATCTATTTATCATTAAATAAAAAATTCATGTGCATTTGATTTTTATGATGTACAAATGTAGATTCTTGTTAAATATAAAAAGATAAAATTTTAATTTATTGAAGATTAATGAATTGGACAAATAAACAAATCTTCATTCACAAAATTCATTGGTATTAATTATTTTTGACAATGTTTGAATGTAGATGTAGGCATGGCAGGAGCGTTGGTAATAACAAAACAAAATTTTATTCCTAGTTTTCAAGCTAGGAGCTTTGGAAAGAGAATTCGTAGCCAGAGGACAAAGCTCGTGGGCTTGGTTGGCTCTGACCCCACTCCACAAATTATGAACGACTTGGAGTCAGAAACACCGCACAACTGATTTTTTTTTTTCTTTTATAAGTGAGTTGACGCCAGTTATCGGCGTTTGACTAAGACACATGCCCACTTGCCCAAGTGGTGTATTAATTTTAAAAACAGCTCCATTAGTGGCGGACTGATTTTTGAGGCCCATTCGTTCGTCAATATTGTTGAAAATTAAAAAAAAAATTTTTTTGATATTTTAAATTTTTCTCATAAATATTTTTTATTAATAAAATTAATAAATTAATTAATAATTATATTTATATATTATATGTAAATACTAAAAAAAAAAAATCTGAAATCCATGCTTCATTGTTTAGTTTAATGTAATTAAGCAATTGAGAATAAAGAAACTTTCACTAAAGGTTTTTGTGGGGAAGGTAGTCTGATTATTGTGCCATTGGTTTCCAGATTCTTAGCAGCAGGAGGAATTGGTGTAATTTGTGTCGACGACACACCCAAAAATCTGATACAGCAAAGCAAAACAAAAACCAAAGTACCAAACCCTATTCCCAAGCCTATGAGATGAGAAATTATATTACATTAATCTCCCAAATGTTGCCTTATTGGATAAAATTTATATGAAATTATCTAAATGAAGTTTGTGAATTTTTTTTTTATAAATAATTTAACAAAAATTTTAATAAAAAATTTAAATCGATAAATTAATAAATTTTAATGTGAAAATTAATAATATATAAAAAAATTATTTAAAATATTAATTATGATTCAAATTTGATTGATACTTATTTAACAGTAAAAATTTTATTAATATTTTTACTAAAAATATCTATTTAATAAATATATCAAATTTTATAATTTTTTTTCAAATTTTACATACTTAATTTATGTGACGAGATTTTTTAATCTGTTAATTTTAATTTTTAATTTTATTTACTTATTTTTAATAAAAAATTTCACAAATTGTACTTATAAAACTTTATACAAATATTTTCCAGTCTTGTTAAGGATTAATCAAATTGCCGCTCCATATAAAGTCTCTGAGCCTTTATCTTCAAGAAAAGAAAAGAACATACTTTCTAAGGTATCCTACATGTATTCGATAATAATGCAAGTAATGCAATGTTTTCAACTTACTACTTATAACAGTATTATTTTAGCAGCTAGAAATGCACACACACCAGCCAAACACATAAAATAAAAGCAGACGTATTGGTTTGCATGTATGAATGTGATTAAAAATACGAGAGTATCAAGTGATTTATATTTATAAGGGAAGAGAGTAAAGCAAAGGATATTCCATAGAAAGGATTAGACATTATTCGATAGCTTTTACTTCTCTTCCCCAAGTGGCCAATTTGATCTAACCATTGACCCTACAAAAGAAATTTAGCCATATCTTTTCTCACCTGTGGGTTCTACACTTTATGTGTAAATTTTATAATTTATTAATTTTAATAATAATTGCTATAGAACCCTACAAGCTCAACTTATGTAATTATATAGATCTCATGTTATGCATTGGTGTATAACTATTTGCATACGTTTAAAAAGAGGAAATAAAATAAATTTATGATCACTAAAGTTAAAAAGACATGCGATCACTTTTAAAAAGATAATATCTAATAAATTTGATTTTAATTTTAATATTTATAATTTATTTATCTTTAATTTACGACTTCCTTTATATATAAAAAATTTAAACATATAACACGCATGCAATCACCTACCAAATTGATTAAGAATTTGTGTGTGTTACAAGAAGAATTTAAAGTCGTATTTGTTATATTTTAATATATATATATATATATATATACATCTTTACGTACACTAGCAGATTCATTTTTTATAGGAAGATGTTCAGGAAGATATTCATGGATATATGTCAAATTTAAAAATTAACAAAATTTAAAAGAAAATTTTTTCTGGACATCTTTAAAAATTTTTTTTTGGGACACTTCTAAAGATTGAAATATAAGAAATTTAGAAAGAAAATTTGTTCATGACATTTTTTTATCGGTAAAATTAATAAATTTGTTCATAATTTTTTATATATATTATAAGTGAATATTTTAGAAAAAAATATTGAATCTACCGTTGCAAACAAATGCATATATACTTTTAAAAGATAAAATCTTAGAATCTCATTTAAAAGTTTAAATCTTTTTTGTAATTACCATTAAAGTTTAAGTAGTAGAAAAAACTTGGGAAAAAAAAGAAAATGAAGGAGTGCATGTATTGTAAAGAGTAGGTCATCTTTTTTTTTTTTTTCAAGTTAATTTATTTTTAAACTCTCACTATTTTATTACATATTTAATTAAATAAGTTATTACGTGTTTAATTTTTTTTAAATTTATAATTTTTAAATGTCAACTAATTTAAAAATTAATCTACGAAAATAACTTATCTGTAATTAGCAGAAAAAAAAAAAGGGTATGAATAGGAAGATGGCCCTTTTGGATCGATCCCAATTGCAACTTCATCGGAGAGCCAAAGGCTATATATAGCTAAGGTATCATTTTCCGTTTTTCACCTATCATTTCCCCATTTTAGTTCCCTATTTTTTCGTTCTCTTCGCAAAATTTAGAGAAGAAAATCCAGTGGAGTAGATTTCCTCCAAAAGAGTTAAAATTAAAAAAAAAAAACAAGCCATGTGGAGCCACCAGCTGGGCCCACGTGACAAAAAAATTTGTGGGGACAATTTCTAGTTAATTGGAGTGGTCCCACATTCACTGTCCTCGAAGCAATCAAACGGCTCCCCGTCCTACATTCCAACAAATGAGTCTCTTTCCTTTGTTTCATTTTCCTTCCTTTTGTTTATTATTATTATTTTTTCATTTTGTATTGTCCAATTTGGGACCCACGCCATGCAAAGCTGGCGTGGCCACAGATTCCCCTCTTCTCCCAAATTCCATGAGCACTACTCATAGCCGTGTCACATTAACAGAATAATCCTTTTTGGGGTATTATGAAAATTATGAACAAAATTTAATTTCACTTTTCTTTTTCTGTGAATTTATTTTCACTTCTTTAAATATGACCTCGGTAACTAATATTTTTACTTTTGTTGATGAAGTAAAAAATGTTTAGATTTTTTTATATAAAAGTGATTATATTTTTAAAAACGATTGAATGAATAAATTTTTTTGTATATTTAAGAAACTCTTAAAAAAATTATAATTACCAATGAGACCTTGATTGAATGGCAACGACGAAATTCTAAAATCTTAAAATTTTAGACTCAAGTTCATTGAATGTGAATTTGGTTATTTAATTAAATTATAATTTATTAATTAATTATTTCGTGATGTAATAATTGATTATATGAATATAATACTTGATTATAAATTAAATTATAAGTATAACTTAAAAAAAAAACTATAACCAGGTGTTTCCTGAATCATGATTCATGAATCAAACCTTAAAATCAAGAATCAATAAGAAAAAATCGAAAATTTTGAAGAATTTTTTCAAAACCAAATGAATTAAGTTTACAATGACAGCCATTCTTCTAAGACTGAAAAAAAGGACAATTAATGGAGATCAAAGAAATTTTGTGAATCTGTTATTTTGCTTCCATTGCTACCAAAAGATAACAAGTGATAAAAACACACAAGGACGAAGTGCAGATTTCAATTTCCTTTTCTATAAAGTTTTTTTTTTTTTTTATTCACATGAAATAACATGTCCAAAACTTGCCACATTAATTAGCATTACAAAGTTAACTTGCAATCCTTGCATAATATTAACTCCTAGTACGATGGAATTTGAGCTTGGTAAAATCCTTTTGGGCCACGGTGATTATTATCTATACTGCGGCAACTGTCTCGTCTTTGGTGGAGACGTCGGATCTGGTGGCGGAAGAGCCCGTGGCTTGCTTCTTGGATGCTGTCGAACATTTCTCTCTTTTTTCATCTTGGTTTATTTGATGTTGCCTGCACTCTAGGCTGCAAAATGCTCCATCACCCCTGCAACAAATAAATAACTTGCATCATGAGTCAATTGCAAAGTTAAAGCTGTAATAATTAATCAGGAAAGAGATCTATTTAACTTCGATTTTTCAACAAATTAAAGTATAAAATTCTGAATTTATTTAAATTCAAAGTTTAAATCGTTCGATTATACAATTATTTTTAAAAAAAAAGACATCCACAGAATTTGAGATTAAAGTTTCATATTTAAACTTATTCTAGATTTAGTTTATGATAAGCTAGTAACTAAAGAAGAATTATGGGATTCAATTGGCAATTACCATACAAGGTTTTAATTGTAAAGGAAGGGTGTTAATTTTGAAAAGCTGAAATTCCTTACAATTTGTAAGTTTCCAAAGAAGATTTCGAAAATATCAAAGAAATGAAGAGAAATTGAGAATAAGATGTATGATGCAGTAACAAATAAAGACAAGAATGGGGGAAGAGTCTGTGTAAGAAAATAACTTGAAATTCCTTCCTATGTCCAAACAAAAAAATCATTGGCAAAAAGAAAAATTAAAATGGAAAATAAAACAAAAACTCCCTATATCAAATTGTCTTTGAGAAAGAGAAATCCAAAGAAGCCTAAGAACAAAAAAAAAATTGAGTAATGAAAAAAAATATTTTAAACCAGACAATTAAAAGTTCCTGACAACAACAATCTAGACTTGGTCTAGAATTTTCTTTCTTATTAAAATTTTCTCAATTAATTTACCAAAAATATACCAATAAAAAAAGAAAAGAGAAAGGGGGAGATAGGAGGATCGCTTGAGGGAAAAAATTAATACCTATACATGTAGATATCACGGCCAGGAACAAGGCGACGTCTGCAAAGACCGCAAGACCTTAAGAAATGAGGGGTTTCCATAAATTCAACTGAGTGCTTTCTATGAACTCTGGGTGATACCGTCGCTAACAACCGTTGATCTAACCCTTCAAGGCTGCTACCACCACCATCACCAGCAACAGAAGCTGCTGCTGCACCACCACCACCATTAGCCTGCATCTGAGGACCCCCAAAGCCACCAAGAAGGCCAGCAGCAGCCAGCTGTTTCTGGTAGTTGTCAAAAAGTTTATGTGGACCAGACGATGGAGCTTCAGCGTTGCTTGTGTTTAGATCAAAAGTGATCTCTGTCATGCTTGTTGTTCTCTTCATTGGTGGCCTAGGCCTCTTCCCTAGCAACATCTTACTTATCTTCTTCTTCTTCCTTTTTTTTCCTCTACGGTACTCCTCGAAAGGTCTCCAAGGAAAAGCTTGACAGAGCTGAGAAAGTAAGAGAGAAACAATAGAGGAGTGAAGAAGAAAGGGAGATGGGGCAGATAAAAGAAGAACCAGAAACCGAGGAATTAATCTGAGCCGTTCATTCTTTTTGTTTTTCATTTCCTTTTCTTGTTTTGGGTGTTTGCGTCATACATGGAAAACCCAGGTCATACTATGTACTATTAAATTTAATAATACGTATTTCGCCAATGACAGCAGTCAATTTCTATTACTTTTAACTGCCAATTATTTGTTGACATGTCATTTTTCCTATTTGGTTGGGGCCTCCTCAAATCAGTAAAGTCATAAAATAATTTATTGCAGCAATGTTAGACAAAATGATTACCATATATAAGGAATGTAATCATTACATAGCCAATTAAGGAAGAAAACTTATTTTGAGAAAAGTAGTATTTTAATTTTCTTAGCAAAATTTACACTTAATTTTGTGAAATTTTAAGAAATTTTAACAGGAAGCAAAATCATATGCTCTGTACCAGCTGAAGTCTAACAAATGCTCTCTCTCCCAGTATATTGACTCTTCATTGAAATGGTCATTTGTTTCAACTTCCAATGCCAGAGAGGCTGCTGCTTTCTGCCCACAATATCATAATCTCTGGCCTCTGCTAGATATCTGTATGTTAGTTGTACACTGTCTATAATTTATTTCGAGAAAGTACGTCTCATGGACGCTGCAGGTGGGAAGTAAAATTCTTCATTATTTTAGTAGTAAATTGTGTTTTCACTTTTTAACTTATCCATGCCTTGTTTGCACTTTGCAGACTGTTTCCCTTCTGCCAATGTTACTTCCACCCAAGCCTGCTGGACCACCACGTCGGCCTGCTCTGTTCCGTCAAGTAAAACTTCGACCATATATCCTCCAAAACCCCTGCCATCCGCTCTCTTATGAGACAGGTCCTCCTATAGCTTCCATCACCGACTACAAACACAGGAAAGAAAAGAAGTAAAAAAAAAAAAAGAATTAAGACAAAACTCTCAATAGAAAAATATTAGACTCTAACAATATAACAATATTGATATAATTTTTTTAAAAGAATGCTTAGACAAAATTATACATTAATATTATGCAACTCAGTGATTTACAGCATCCGTGACAGTGACAAGAAATGCGTTCATGAAGTGGAAAGTTGGGGATCTGCGTAGGCTGGATTATGAGAACATTTTTCTTAAAGCATTTGGTTCTTTTATTGTGGAGAGAATATGCCAGACCCAGAAATTTGTAAAAGAAGTAGTGTATATTCTTGTAGCATATATATATATATATATAACTTTTTATCATGGTAGGATAACTGTTTTTGCTTCAAATCGAGATTTCCAGCACCTAGTTTTGAAGATATATAATATATATATATCAGTTTGGGGAAGCATATGAAATATTTAAATAAGATTTTGACTGGATATTTGGCTTCCAAAACACAGTTGAAATCTTCAACAGTAGTTTCACACTATATTTAATTTAGAGTTTGATATTATATGGAGTCCTTTCCACTCTTTCTTTCAAAAGGAAAATATTATTCTCAGCATTTGTAACATGGTTGGCATTGTTTTCTTTTAAAGTGAACCCACTTTTTCTTCAACATGATGACCTATGAAAGAGATGGAAAGTGACACAGAAAGAGGACATGAAACAAAATTATAAGAATCCACCCATCCTGGTTTTGTGAAGCACAATGAAATGTGAGCGTGCAAAGTGCCAACTCTGCCTCTCCCAAAATGCTGATTGTTTGTTGGTTTTTAAGTTTTTAAGTAAAAAGGGCTTCACTGCTTTGAGACCTGAGGGTTTAATTTAATCAAAGGTCAGAGTTTTCTGCAAGCACTAATTTAGTACTTCTTTTCCACTTTCTTCAAAGAAAATAGGAAAAGGCTGTACTAATGTATTTTGATATCTTAGCATGAAGATCTTCCTTGTCTCTCCCTGCCTACCAAGCACATAAATAGTCTTTATATGAAAGATCATACAATAAGAATTATTGCACTTAGTATTAATTGATTTTAAATTAATATCATTTTAAAATTTACAAAAACATTTTGAGGTTCAAACTAAAATGATGATTAAAAAAACATTTGTGAAAATTTTTTTTTTCTGAGATTCTAATTGCGGTAGAAGAATATGGATCAAAATGAAATTCAATGTACTACTCAAATTAGTTTTTAGGAATCCAAATATAAAGATAATAACGGTTCAATCTGATTCAGATTTAATTTGATTTTTTTAATATTATATACTATTATAAAAAATTAAAATTCGATCTAAATCTGAACTAAATCTTCATTTGAGTTGAACTAAATTAAATTAAAATTTATTGATTTAGTTTTATTTGATTTACCAGTTTTTAATTTTTTATATATTATTTTAATATAAAATTTAATATATTTAAATAAATTTTGATACAAAATTATTATTTTTATTTTATAAAAATTAAAAAAATATATAAAAATTAAAAAAATATAATTCGATTTAATTCGATTTTTTTTTTTAGTTTTTGATATCTCAATTTGAAATATGATCCAAACTTAATATATATATTTAATATATGAATTTAATTCAAATCAAATAAAAAAAATCCTTACTAAATTAAAATCTACGATTGCAATAAATTTTTGAAAATTTTTTTTTTAATGTAATGCCAAAAACTCACCCTTTGGTGAGCACATTACAAACATCATGTCTTGAAAGGCAGTAAACTTGGTCGGAATAAACTTGCTGAATATTAGGCTGACATGCAGCCTGCTAAGTGATAAAATGATTTGGACCGTTGAGCAAGAGAGAGATTGATTCATGGCTCAGTTAAAAGGAGGTTTTCCCGTTTTCTGTACATTTCCCAATTCTCTGCTACCATGCCTTTCCAATGCAGAAAAATATCTAATGGATGAATCAAAGATAATGATTGCTAGATGCAGCGATTACTTTGAACTGAGGAGTTTGCTTCTGGGGTTAGAACACATTTTAATTAGTGGTCCATATACTTGACTTGAGAAACAACACATGTGAACAGCTCAGTTGAAGTTGAGATATCAATATTTGTGTTACAAATTCTTGTTTGCTTAATAGTTTTGCCAGTGAAATTGTTAAGCAACTTGTGAGCTACGTTTACTCTGTCTCTAGCGGGCGATGATATGTTCGCAGGGCGTCGTCACTTGCTTCTACAACAATGATCAATTATTGTTTGGCACCCATCATTACAGAAATAAAAATCTACACATTTTCTTCGATATGTCTCTTCCTTTTTTTTTTTTTTAAACTTTTTAAAAACCTCTTTATCTTATATGCCACCCGATGTTATATCAAAATGTTAAAAAAATATATAATTTAAATTTTATAAAAATTATATATGAATTTGATAAAAATAAAAAAAATTATTTTCATATTTTATATGTATTAAACATAAAATAAATAAATAACTATTATCATATTTATCGGTTTTAACAATACGAGTAATTAACATTGAAGAAGAAAACCTTTACCATAATTACATGGTATTGTTTTAAGCTATGAATATAATCTCCAGTAGTAGGGCGCCCAAGAACAAAACAAGATATCTTCATTGAATCATAGAATGCAGGTCCTACAGTACTACTAGGGATATGTAGATGAAAAAATTTGACCAAAGGAAGGGAAAATCTAAGAGGTTACCGTGGGATGAGAAATAAATTTATGTTGTAAATTAATAAATGGTGTCTCCCACTGATATGGACATAGACGAAGAACCTATGATGCATTGATATATGCATAAAAGGTTAGGATGTCACTACATTTTTCTTCCATGGATTCCACTCAAAGCTTGATGATTATTGATTTTCATTTGTGAGGTGAAAAAAAAAATGCAGTTGTGCACACCCCTAATAACGGTGGACACTGATCACAAAAATTCATACAAAAGAAACAAAAAAGTCATTTAAAATTTGTTGAATTACATATGACACTAGTAACTAGACACATTTAACCAGGTTCATGTACAACTAAATTCATGAATAACTAAATATGAATAGATAATATGAAGAAGCAGCAATTAAAAAGACTCTCCTCCATCACTGTTAGCTTTTTTGCCAATTCATCCCTGTTGTTCACCGAATTGTTTCCAGGTTCTTAAATTTATTTTTGTGACTGACTTGTGAGAATTTCAAACTTTTCCATGTCAAGTGCTTCCATTTGGATCCAGCTACGCAGTTACTGTTCTTCCTGCTAAGCCTCAAGTTGGGCCCCTTTTGTGAATCCTAATTCTCTCACTTTTTTGGATTATAGCTCACAAGAAAAGGACTTGATGACCCAAAAACATTAAAACTAACCAGAAACAAAAACGAGCACACCCACAAAACGACATGAAACATGAATTAGTGTGCTAGCTCCAAGGTACAAATTAATAAATTATGGGGACATATTGTACTCTTTATAGTGCAATTATATACCATAGAAAGAGGACCATTTTCAGCTTAGACAAAGAAGAAAAGAACAGTTGGGACCAGAATATATAGACAAAAAAAATATGTATAGAATGGTGCATGTGAAATATTTTTATTGAAAGTTTTTTGAAGAAATTAATTAAAAATGATATAAAAAAAATCAAATAAGAAGCACGTACATGTGACACTATATCTATATAAAATACTTATGTTGATGTATTTATAATTTACATGTAAACAAAGGCTATGATACCTAGGGATGGGAATTCAACCCGACCCCGACGGGTTTCGACCCGATCCGACCCTATGAGATCGAGTTTTTTTTTTTTTGAATTTCGGGTTTCGGGTCGGATCGGGTAATGTTAAGAAATAATCGGGGTCGGGTCGGGGTTGGGTTTTATGCATACCCGACCCGATATTATTTAAAAAATTATTTTTTAATTAATTTTTTAATTATTTATTTATATATATTTATATAATAATATTTTTAAATATTTATATTTAAAAAATAATATTTTTATTAATTTCGGGTCGGGTCGAATCGGGTACGGATTATATAATATCGGGTTCGGATCGGGGTCGTGTATGAAAAAATAAAAAAAATTCGGGTCGGATCGGGGGTCGGGTTTATTGATGATAAAGTCGGGTCGGGTTCGGGGTGAGCAAAACCCACCCCGAACCCGACCCGATGTCAACCCTAATGATACCTATCAATTAATGGATTCAAAGCCCATGTACTCATGCTCACTGGATTTTGATGCCCCTTTTATGGAGCAGCAGAATCGGATTTTGTGATTTATTAATGTTTATATAATAGTAGTCCAGTCTCTTTCTGGGCCATAGACCAAACTCCGAAGGAAAAAAACCATCACTTTCCAGGCCTGTCTCTTTAGGAACTTGGCACTCGGCCTTAACCTTTAAGTAAAAAACCTGGATTCATTCGCCTGTTAACGGATGAACAAATGTGGACTGGCTCACGAGCGTGATTGGTGGTGGTAATCAATGAAAAATTATAATGCCGTCCCATCCCCAACTTTGCTTCCCTTGGCAACCTTCTCAAAGACACCATGTGACCAGCGGTAATTGCCAACTGCAACCAATCACGACCTCAGTTCTATCCTCTACTCTCTCCATGTCCACTCTCCCCTCAACTCTACCAATAATACCTCGCCACATCACCACACTAACCCCATCCATTAGCCAAAACACCCCTTAGGTCTTCAATATTACCAAATCAACACCATTGTTTTTACGTGGCAACCAAAAACAAGAAGTTTTACGCCTTATCCACCACACACGAAAATACTCTCTTAACGCGGCTTGGGTAAGTTCATTTATTTCAATGTTCACTTTTGTTTAATTTCCTTATGTCACTCCACTTTATCATCATTCCCTCTCTACCCTTTTTTATTTGTTGCTGAGAATTTGATCTCCAAACCGTCCTTTCCATTTCTTCATTTCTTTCTCAAGAAAAACCCAGAAAGGAGGTAGAAAAAATATGGCCAAAATATTGTTGCTCATTGCACTATGTGTGCTCCCAGCTCTGGTTAGTGCTACACGCATGGTGAAGAATCCATTGGTGGTGCAAGGACAAGTATACTGTGACCGTTGCCGTGCTGGTTTTGAAACCCCTAAAACTAGAAGCATGGCTGGTACTTTTCATTTCTGTCAGACTTCTGTGTTATCTATGTTCCTATGTCAGTTTTTGTGTGTTATGTTGGTGACATTGTTTGATCTGATGTCTTAGCTTTTGAACTGGTAGATCTGTGAAGTAGTTTCAGGTTTTTATGTTACATGAGTGCTAGTAAATAAGTAATGTATGAACCCTAAAATAATGGAAACAACCATGACTTGATGGACTGATGGTCGATTATAGTTTTTTTCACAAGGGAAAACCGCAAAGTTCAAATCTTGAAAAAACGGCAAAGAATAATTAGCCTAACAATATGAAAACTATAGGTTTTTAACTAGAATTTCAAGAACAGACCAAGAATCAGCCTTTGTTAATCAATTGGCGATTCAAAGGTGTAAATTTTAACAAAAAAAGGGGAAAGCTTTATGGTTCCAAAATGATAGCATTGCTCATAGTTTTATGAACCCAAAAATGTTGATTCATGGAGATGGAACATAGTGTTGTCGTTATCTGATTAAACTCCATTGGCTGTTGGTGTTGTGGAAACTGAATTTAGTTTCCACAAGATTGTTGCTTTGAATTTTGGTTTACTGGTAATGTGCTTTGTAGGTGCCAAGGTTAAGGTGGAATGCTCTGACAGGAAGACCGGCCAAGTTGTGTACAAGAGGGAGGGATACACCGATTCAACCGGACAATACAAGATTGTTGTGTCTGAGGATCACTTGGATGAGATCTGTGATGCTGCTCTTGTGAAGAGCTCCCAGCCCGAGTGTGCCAAAATGTCACCAGGTCGTGAACGTGCCCGTGTCATCTTGACCAACTTCAATGGCATTATATCCAGCACCCGTTATGCCAATGCCATGGGCTTCATGGTTGACGAGGCTGAAGCTGGCTGTGCTGAGATTATGAAGCTGTATCAGGAGGAAGATGAATAGAGTATGGTTTGGAGTTATTTTCAAGTCCGAATGACTAGTCAGCATATGAATATGATGTTGTCTGCTATTTGTTAATTGAATTGTTTCGTTACTTCTCTGTTTAGAGGACTTAATAACTTATTTTCTTTGAATTCTATTACTAGTATAAAAATATGCTACGGCTTCTATCTGATAAATATTTTGGGTAATTGGTGTTCTTTTTCCTTGATGAATCTACCTTAAAATAATATCCTTCTCTGCCAATGCATTTGATTTGAGCGAAAAGCAGAGAAGTCATTAGTTGTTTATTAAGTTCTGTTCTTAAGGATAAGTGTCAATGTGCCGCTGATTCTTGGGTTCGGTTTCTTAAGGTTGAGTCCCAAGCCTAGATGATATTCGCGTATGGCTCTAGCCTTGAAGATGTTCAAATTATGGGGTGGCTTGAGTGGACTAGCTAGATTAGCTACATACTGGAACCAAACGGGGCCTGCACCTGCCCCAGCCGAACCTATTGACAGCTCGAATGGTGCTAGCCAGGTTATATTTTAAGCCCATGCTTGATGGTGGCTTTGAGAGCATGGAATCGAATCCAACTAAAGGGAATGGAAATTGATTCCTTGATTAGCATAGAAAAATTTCTATTAGCATGGAAACAGAGGATTGCTATTCATGGTTGAATGTTGACGCCTATTTCCATATTTTCTTCGGTTGAGATTGGCAAAGAGAATCAAATGAATGAAAGAAAATGGTCATATCCAATGACCAAACAAACCACTGTACAGGATGGGCTGGAACCGATGTCAATTCAATGGGCTCTAAAATGTCAATTTGCGATTTTGGGCTTTGATATAATGTCAAAAATAAATAAACAATTTAAAAAAGGAGTGAAACTCAAGATAAGATAAATTTTTTTACAAGGTTAAAATACAAATGAGATATACATTAGCTGTACGCTTGAATTTAAATTAAACTAGTATAAGATTGAATCTACAATAAACTAGGAGATTCAATCTCAACATTTAATTAGAATAAAATTTAAAATCATATCTAGTACAATTTTTTTATTAAATCCAAATGAGATTAATTTAGTTTTTTGAATGATTTGGATAAATCAATAATTAACTTAATTTTTTTAATTGAGCATTTGAATCTTAGAAAAGGGTCAGGATTTACAAGGTAAAAGAAAATTATCCTGCCTTGGTAACCCAAGACTCCTTGATTCAATGAACCTTGAGAAAAAAAATTTATATACCAACTTCAATCGAAGCAGAGAACAATGCCTCGGCATATTCTTTCAGACGCCAGCAAAAATCATTAAAACTTGAAGTTTGTGCCGCATACCAAAAACATGAGATGACCACCCTTTTTTGACCTTGGAAGAGAAAGTCAGACCTCAAATTTTGAAGGAAGAGTTTGGTAGGTGTGGCTTGCATCACACATAAGCACGTGCAAGATTACCAAAGGAGAAGGTGGCAGAATGGCGAAAGGAGTTAGGTGGTTTCAACTTGAGGCCTTGAAGGGTTGTTAATAATTTCTTTCCTAAGGGCTGATTTGCAAAAGTAGCAAAATATTCGGTGTATTAGTATTTAAATTTAATTTTTTTTTCATAGTTTTTGTTGGTAAACTATTTATAAATTTTAAAAATAAATTGATAAAAATTTAATAAATTCATAAATTCTAATTAAATTAACAGTTTGTTCTAATTTTGAAAATGAGATGATTTTTTTACTTTAAAATTTTTTCATACAAAAAAAAATTTAGGCTGAGGTATAATATTTTTTAAAACTTTTAATCTATTTTTAAAATTAATTTTTATCCATTTAACTTACATAATGAAGATATTAACTTCTAAATTTTATTAAATTTGCAATTTGAAAAAAAAAACATATAAAAAAATCTAATAATTAATTTAATTGGTTATGGAATTATTGATGTTGCTTTCTATTTGTAGTCATATTTGGTGTAGATATGATCCAAATATTAAATTATCCACAGCTTGTTTTAAATCAAAGCCTTTGATACTTTCATATCTTGAAATTCAATCTCCAAAACTAAACAAATTGTATTAAAGAACTCCACGAATTGAGAACTAAATTGAGAAAATATTTTGTGGAAATAATGAACTGCTAATATGTTTTGAATCAAAGTTTGTCCATAATACAAATAATTCAAGAGTTTAAGAAATCAATAATTAGTCTAAAGATAATCATTAATTCTTATAATAATTTGAACTTTGACATTGTCCATAGTGAAAACAAAATAATAAAAACAAGTTGTATACCTCAAAGTAAAATTAAAAAAAAAAAAAAACAAAACAAAGAATGAGGCAAAACAAATCCATAAAAATCAAATAATTTAAAATAAGATATAATAGGAATATAATACGAAAATAAAATTTAAAAATAATAAGATATAAAAATTATAATGATAATTTTATATAAATTTTAAAAATAAAAATTTTATATTTTATATTTTTATATTGATACGAATTATAATATATAATTTAAATATAAAAATTAATATAAATATAAATATTAATATTTTACGGGAATCGTTATATCTTAAAAAACCCTATAAATTTCAGTTTTGTTACGAGAAAAAGGGTATTTGTCATTAAGCTGTTACAAACGTGACCATATCTGAAGAAAAAGAACAGAACAGAACAGCGACGACAACAACATCAACGGTTGTTCCTATTTAACCTGAGAGTTTGCATTTTTATATTATACTAAAACAACTCAAGAGTTTCCGATCTTTCAAATTTGTTTTTTTGTCTCTTCAGATTGACATGTAAAAGCTGCGAACGCTCAAATAAACTCTACCTACTCTCCTTCTCCGTCAGCTTTTCTTGCTTTTTTTTTCCGTGTAGTAAGAAAAACTTCCCTTATATTCGCATTTTTCTTTGCCTCGGTTTCTTCGCGGTTGGCCTGTATAAACTCGAGGTCAGTTTTTTCGTGTACCCAACAAGGTAAACACCCTCTTTTCCCTTCGTCCGGCATTTCATTTTTGGTTTCCGGGTTGTTGTCTTTTAAGGTTGGTTTCATCTTGTTCATCAATTTTGTCTCATTTTTTGGATTGGTGTTGTCCTGAAATTTTACTATTGTTTATTTGATTTATGGAAGAAAATCCCATGTGGGTAATGTTAAACTTGAGTCTTTGATTGGGTTACACATTTGATGCTTGGATCTGTCAGATTCTTTTCAATATAGGGTATTTGCTAATCAATGTTCTTATGATCGACTTCCTGACAGCCAAAAAATTTTGTTCTTATGATCGACTTCCTGGCAGCCAAAAAATTTGTCTTTTTTTTTTTTTTTTTGTTTTCTCTCAAAGGAATAACTTTCCTGGTTTTTACTGATGGGGTAGTGATCCTAGAGAGGTAGATTATGTTTCCTGAAGTTGTTGCCTCTCTTTTAATGTCGTTGGAGCTTGTTAATGATCTCAATCTGCCTTAAGTCTGCTTTTAACTATTGATTTAGAATGAATAGAAATCCTTAGAGGCATAATCATAAGTAACATTTATTTGCTCTAGAATTCTTTTGCCTTACGGCAATGGACGAGCAAATGCATTATTCTTGTGCGGAACATAAGTTTGTCAAAAATGAAGACTTTCTCCTGTATATTTCTGCTTCATTTGTCAAGTTATAGAAGGTGTTCTTAGATTAGCACTTGCTTGTCTTGAATTTTCAGAATGGCCAATACTATGTTGCACCAAACAGTTGGAACTCTTCAGCTTCTCAGCGATTCTGGAACTCATTGCAAAGTTGGGAATAATTCAGTAAGGTTGCTTCCCAAAGGTTTTAAGGTGGAAGTTGGGTTCTCAGAAAGAGGGACTTATAGTTCTGGACAGAGGAAATTCAGAGTTATTCAAGCCTCAGCTTCTCAAACCTCTGTTGCTGATCCTGTTTTATCTCCCTCAAATAATGGCACCCATGAATCTCGCAAGAAATCAAGTAAGCCATACCATCCTAGACATAGTTTCATATTTAATTAGTGAATAATAGACCGATTCACTATTTTTCTTCATTATTATAAGCTCAAACCAACAGCATCTGTTTAGACTTTATTCACTAGTTATTTTAGGTAACAGAAATCCTAATTTCTCAAAATTGCGGTGGCAGACTGCAAATGCACATTGATTCCAACTGATGCAAGTGATTTGGTATTTCCGTGTAACTTGGGGAACAAAGTTGGGTTCATTTTTGGAAATCTTCTGATTATTTTCCTGATATTCATTGCAGATGAAGCAGCTTTGATACTGATTCGCCACGGTGAGTCTTTATGGAATGAGAAGAACCTGTTTACAGGTTGTGTTGATGTGCCATTAACCAAGAAGGGAGTAGAAGAGGCAATTGAAGCTGGCAAAAGAATCAGCAACATACCTGTCGACATGATATATACATCGGCACTAATTCGTGCACAGATGACTGCTATGTTAGCCATGACTCAGCACCGCCGCAAGAAGGTAACTTGAGGAAAAATAAATATTATGGTAACTAAAGTTTAGGTGCTAATGACTGCTTGGTGATACTGAGCACCTGCTTTGTCATCATTGGTCATTAATAAACTCATTGACGGGGTTAAATGGCTTTGAAGTTATTTAGAATCCCTTATTTACTTACTAAAAGTCCAGGAGAGGTGATTTTATCATTCTTTGGTTTATTAGACTGAACATTGACCTGTTGGCAGGTGCCAATTATCATGCATGATGAGAGTGAGCAAGCAAGGGCATGGAGTCAAATATACAGTGAAGACACCATAAAGCAATCAATTCCTGTTATAGCAGCTTGGCAATTGAATGAAAGAATGTAGTCACTTTTTTTCCTCTGTATCAAGAAGAATGAAGTCATATTGTTCATGCTTTTCTGATTGTCCTCTTACCGGCTGTCTCAATTTTTCTCAATCCTCTTTCATAAATGATTCATGCACTATTCTCTCTGTGCAGGTATGGAGAATTGCAAGGTCTCAATAAACAGGAAACCGCAGATAGATTTGGGAAGGAAAAAGTTCACGAGTGGCGTAGAAGTTATGATATACCTCCACCCAATGGCGAGAGTTTGGAAATGTGTGCTCAAAGAGCTGTTGCATATTTTAAAGATAATGTAACTTCTATAGCTGGCTTTATCTGATAACTAATGATTTTGATATTTTATCATTTTGTCAATCTGTAAGGCCTTAGAAAACTTTACAGATTCAAGTTATTTTATATGATTTATTTAACACAACACAACGAATATATGGTTTGCAGATTGAACCCCAACTTCTATCTGGAAAGAATGTCATGATTGCTGCCCACGGGAATTCATTAAGGTCCATTATTATGTATCTCGACAAATTAACCTCCCAGGAGGTATGACCTTTTCTTTGTTCCATTCAGGATGTTTTTAATTTTCCTTGTACTCTTGTTTTATCATTAAGGCTATATTCATTCTTTATTCTTTATGAGATAGGTTATCAGTTTAGAACTATCAACTGGGATACCCATGCTTTACATTTTTAAGGAAGGGAAGTTCATTAGGAGGGGAAGTCCAGTAGCGCCAACAGAGGCTGGAGTCTATGCTTATACTAGGGTATGCAACTTCCTCTCAGCATTATTCTTCATCTGTTATGGACCTATGTACAAGCCCATTTACTTTTTCGCTTTTATATATATGCTTTTTTGCTTCATGAAGCATGAAATTGATAGTTCAATTCAGAGTTCTAAAGTAGTTAATAGACTTTGGGAATGTTTCAATAGTCCATGCTTTATAAATTTTGGAGCATGAGGAATAGCCTTGGCACTTCTATGCAGAAAGGAAGGTATTGTCTGTATCAATGTATAGATATGGCTATCACCATCTATAAATCATGAAAGCAGCTTGGTTCTTTTGAAACATCTTATAGCTGTTCAAACTGGTCATGCACGTTAAAAATTCTTCCATCATATGGTATGTTTTCGGGAATTGCCAACTCTGTTGTCTTTTAGGTAAAAACTTTTTGGGTCATAATATTATAATAACAATCATTATCCCTTTCTCTTCTTAACATGTATCGGATACTCTTTTGCTCGAAACTAGTAGCTTATGATGCTGAAGTAAAATTCTACTTGTTTCTTGAAAACATGATTATGCTTGGAAAAATCCTGATTGACATGGAAGGAGATTTTCTGGTTGAATTCTTAGGGTTCACATTAATCTGGAAATTATTCTTTTAATAGTCTGTCTTACCCTTGGTACTGTAGGTCTCAACCTGAAAAGGAAAAAGGAGAATACTTGCAGTAGAATTAATTATTACTCTCTATATCCTCTTGCTTTGAGGGACTTATTATAACTTTTTCACTTGGAATTATTAAGCTTAATCAAGAATACTAATACCTGTACCAACTGATTTTTTTGCAGAGGTTGGCTCAATACAGGCAGAAATTAGATGAGATGTTGCATTGACATTACCTTTAAGTATTAGGTAACATCAAATTTTCGGGCTTTTATTATCACTTTCTGTGTATTAGCCCACATTCCAACTCAAATAGTTTTCCATTTTTTTTTTCTGTTTTCCAGGGGCTTCTCTTTGCATTATCAGCTACATCTATGACTGTTTTGGTTATATAATGTTGGACCAATAGCTCAGAAGGTTAGCTACCGTCCCGGTTGATTTTCATGTGGATGCGCTAACCTACTAGTTCCAAGTCCCTGCCCATGTCGTTATAATTCTGGTTAGGTGTCTCTTTCAAAGATTGTAGGTGTGTCTCTTTCAAAGATTTTGAACATTCAAACCCTGTAACAGAAATACAGAAATAAGAAATTTTTTTGTCAGCGTTTACTGTGTTTAAAATTATTTCTGTCATTTGTCCTTTGTATTGAGAAAATATGGACTGAAAATTTGCTTTCTTATCGAATTCTTAGTATTTTCTGTCATTGTAACAAGTTGATTAAAAGCCAACAATTTTCGTTTAAAATCAACCTTATTGATGGTGACTGCTGGATGATAGCAAGAAGGAAACAAAGTCTAATGCCTCAATTCTAGTCATTGGGTTAAATACTTATCTAAGCAGTTAGATACTTTTGTGTCCTCATATTGCATATTCTCTCAAAATATTTTCAAATGAAAACATGAAATTGATGCATTAAATCGGAGCAGATTTTGTTGCCATAGCCAAATAGGGATGGACGAGCCGAGACAAAGCTTAATTGATCATATGGTGCTTTCTGGATGTAGATGATATCTATATAGACGGATATATAACGTTTAATTCTTATATATATATTGTATAATGAAGTACTGCATGAGTGATATATAAGAATCCAAATCTATGGAACCACTCGTGTTATGGTCTTATGTTCTTCATGTAGCAGTCAGACCGAATGACCACTTTGCCAACTGCAAAGGGCTACAAGCCCACGTAACCCTTAAAACTGGCCAATAGTTTGGGCACAATGAGCTCTTAATATCTATGGTCCTGCTAGTGCAAGGCTAAGGCCCCTTCCAGAGAGTGAACTGGCCCTTGGGTGGGGTTGGGGCTATTTATTTAAGCCTTTGTTTCCCACGTGAAGGTGAAAACCAGTTGTACATTCAACAATCTGTTAGTAAAATATTACCTTTTTAAATTGAATAATCAAAATTTAAGATAATCTCAATATATATATATATATATATAAAAAGTAATTCGACAACCTTAGTAGCTTAATAATAACTAGGGATATGCATTATTGCATCCATATTTGAAGTAAATCTTTATGTCAAATATTAAAACATTAAGAATATGTTTGGTACATAAAATTATAATAAAATAAGATAAAATGATATTATAAATAAGATTATATTAAATAATATCATCCTATCTTGTGTTTGATATATACAAGGATTAAGATAAAATTATTTATTTATTAGTCAAGATTATCATTTCTCAAAGTTTATACAATTTAGATTATTGATATAATTTTTAAAGATATAATAAGATATTTAAGTTCAATCCCATAAATTAAAAATAATCTTCTACTTTGGGAGGATTGAATCATTCTATACCAATAAGATGATTAATCCTCCTTTTAACTTACCCCTTTTCTCTAAATACAAAATAAACATAATATAAGATGATTATCATCTTATCCTATCCATCATCCTATGTACCAAATATGAACTAAGTTCTTAGCCTATGCTGCAAAAACTTTCAAGCTAGTCAGTTCTAAAATAGATCAAAGAGTAAACTTGAAAAGGATAAAACAAAACAAGTTCTTATCAAATACATTAAATTAACTGAACGGGGAAATCCATTCGACAGAAAAGTTCAAAAGGTCAACGATACAAATTGAGGAGCTTTACTTCATATTTCTCAACTAAAACAGTAAAACAGTTAGCATGGCCGCAGACAGTCAGATCATCGTACCTTATTACCTCAACCACGACAGGTTCAAGCTTTGAGTGTCCTCTATCTCTCGTGAACTTCACTAGAGCCATTATCACTGCCCTCAGCAACCAAGACACTTTTATTGGGAGAGAGGCCTTTTGAATCTGAAACATGACTCGGGGAACCGCCTACCTTGCCATTGTCAGAAGCATCAGAATCAGAGTCTAGATTGATAGAATTCAAATCAATGGGAGATTTTGGCATGGGTTCTGGTGGAGCTGCTGATTGAGGATTTCCACTTGTCCAAAATGTGGGTATCCTCTTGTCGTCTTCCTTCATCCTCTCAGCATACTGGTTGATGTTGAAACCTGAATCATCATTTCCGCCAAATGCAGACTCCAGCTTCTCCACATCAAAAAGATCCTCCATTATTTTCTTGGTATTGAGATCATCAGAGTAAACAAATTTTACTTTGTTTTGAGTCTTGGGCTCTAGAAATGGTTTGACCACCTGCGAAGGAACAAACTCCCAAATATCAGTTTAACCACACAAATAAAGCATACACTAACATGATAACAACATAAGTGGATGTCCGTAATATAACACAACTACAGAACAAAACAAAACAAAAAATGGCATTGAACACCAACCAGAGATATCTCAAGGCCAGACATAATCAGTAATGTAAAATAAGGGGAGGGACATTGCAATGACAAGAGAATCAATACCAAAAAAAGCTTGCAAAGAGCTGGATCTATACGCTGGAGTAAATTTTAAATTGCAGATTTATATTGACATGAAAAACAATTTATATAGAAAAGCAACCAGAGTGCTGAAATGTTTCAACTAGCCTTGGCTGAAAACCAAAAGGAAACACATAACTTAAGGAATCATAAAAGTAGTAATCAGGATCCCTTCAAATCTGCAAAATCTCTGACTTAGAACCATGTATCCAAATTCCATATAAAAATATAAGCCATCGCACATGCTTAAACATAGATTACTGTGCACTGTGCATAATTATTTATGCATATTTCTGAGAGACATACTAAGAACCTCACGGATATAATTTTATGTTCTTAAAAAAAAGCAGGAGAAAAAGAAGAGGAAAGATGGTTAAACTGGGTTACCGCCCAGAATGGTTCGAAGAACTTGGGTGGATTGTATAATATTGCCACGCCTAGACGTTCTGGATAATGCTCTTGTAAAACATGTGCTGTTTCCCGTGTCACCTTCACTGATATATGTGACATGTTGAAACCATTGAAATCGATCAACCAGACCATCTGCTCCTGGTCTGGTGGAAGATTTAAAATTGCATTCTCCATACAATAAACCAAATACCTAATCTGTCCTTTTGTTGATTTTGAGTTCTGCAGTCAAAACAAACTTAATTAAGTTATCAAAGCTAACCAATTCGAAGCTAAGTAGTGTGCTTTTGAAACTTGAATCTCAATGGCTGATATGATCCCAAGAAAATGGAAAAAAAAAAAACAAGTTTTCTTTTTTCTTTTCACTCATAGTTGCTTCATGGTCAACTTTTACAATAATACAAACTTACTAATCCATAAGACAGTCAAACATGTCAACCGCCTAAATTACTAATGGCTTAAGAGGTAGTGGAAAATCCTATTATTGGGACAAAACGGGACACAGCCATGACCAAAAATCTTAAACTGATTGGGATATATCTTATATATACATCTTTTGTTTCTTTATTTTTTCTCTGATGTAGGATAATCTTCACACATGAACTCTAACACCTTTCACCCAAAATTGTTTCAACTTTTATGTAGTACTGGATTTACAAATTGCACAGATATAGAGGTACTGATGTCAGGTGGAACCTGGAAACTAGGTCTCATGACAAGAACTGTTCTTCCATGCTTGTCTATATAATTTGATCTGTAGATCTTCCCTGTCTCAGCTTCATGAGCAACCTCTTCCTACATAATACAAAAAGAACAACCTTGTAAAAACACCACATGGAAAAAGAAAAAAGTTTGACCTGAACCAGCTATTTATCACACAAAAGGACAATGGTTGACCTGCCAAGTGACCAGAGTTCAGCCCTAATAAGTATATTGGACTTGGGTTACTCTCTAAGGGTTAAATCCAGAGGACTTAAGTTCCTAATTCAATGAACCATTCTGAGTGCATGAAAACAAATGCAAAAGAATGCAACTGCTAAGAAAGATCATCAGGCCATTGATTGTCAATTTCCTAGTACCTCAAATTTCAAATAAAATGGAAAACCTGTTACAAGCATACGGAAAAGGTCAAAAATCCTGCAGCCATTTGGTACTTCCTATTCGAAACTACAGAGAATTCATAGGAGAACGAATTGTAGCATACCCAGCGAATCTCTTCTGGTTTGTATTCTGCTCTCCATTTTAAGGTTTCTTTCAGCATTTTAGTTGCCTTTTTGGCATTCCAGTTTCGTGCCCTTAAATATCTTGCGATGGCTGCATCAGAACAATAATTGGCCAACTTCTCAGGTAATGGTCCTATCAACCTTCTTATCTCACTAATCTGCAAATATCAAAAGGTTTGAAAGCTTTACTCTCCACAACATCCAAGTAGCTTTTGCTTGCTTCAACTCTCGAAATCTATGATAGGTCAGAAACTTGGAATAGGGGGATCATATAAACAGAAGATACCTTTGCCTGCTGCTCTTCAGTTGTTAGAGACTTCTCATAGCCATTTGAAGAGGATTTCTTTAAACCCGCACTCATAGTTTAATAGATGTCTCCTGTATGTTAACAGTGAAATACTGCAGAATTATATTATCATCAATCTGAGTGTCACAACATCTACATTTTGTGTTTCAATTCAAGTGCAAGCTTGTGTAAGAAAAGGCAGAACACCAAAACCATTATCTTATTTTCAGTAGAAAATGAGAAATTGCATAACTTCTCCCACTAAAGCTGAATAAAACTAATCGTATTGCACTTTTTGGTATACATGAAAAGTGAATTCAAAATTATCAAATATGTTGAGGCCTTAGCATATATTTATATGTCGCTTCACCATATAGGTTTGTCAATCCTGTCTTAAGTAACTATTCATAACAAAAGTTAGCATCAGACTGCTCTTTAGTACAGCTTTTCTACATCAGTTTCTTTTTTTTCCCTTTTACTTCCTTTAAGAAAACCATCTCTGTCAGAGTGTGAAATAGCTGATCAGATTGCAGTTCTCTTGCCAGAGATAGACAAATTGAACCATTTTTAGTTTATTTTCTTCTTTTCTTTCCCTTTTAATTGAATCCAGGAATTGTTCTGCAAGTTCTCCTTTGGATCATAGTAATTTCTACCATCATAGGAAACAAGATTATCGAAATTAGTGAATGATCTGTTTGATCAACCGACTTTAACCACACTTTACGTCAAAGTGGACTGCAACGATGTAAAACCAGATTACAAACCCAAAAACGTTGGGACGTTGTATGAGCTAAACAACTGCTATAGCAAGACATAACCACCTAGATATTACTATAGAATTCGATCCATATTAACATAAACTTTGCTTAATTACACCCCAACCCCTTTTTCTTCTGTTGGTCCAACAACACAACAAACCAAAGAAGAAAATAATTAATGTCGCAAAGAAGTCCGCATCTGGGATTGAAAAATTCAACTAAAACATTTCCAACCAAACATGGGCATAGGGTCCAAATCACATTAACTTCACTTTGGAGACAAATTTAACCCATAGATTGTTTTCCGAACGGCGTAATATAAATGAAAAAGAATAGAAAATTTCTGCAGTCCAAAGTAAACAAGATGTCAAGATCCAAAGACCAAAAAGTAAGATGTATTTATGGTAAAAACGAGCAACTAACCTGACAGATTCAAGGAATAATGGAATGAGGAATGGATCTTCAAAAGGCAAACCAAGAGAGACAACTTCGGGGGGTGCAAACTCAGATGGTAAAAATCATAGAGAAAGGGTCAACCCCTGAAAGGGTATCCCTTAAAAATAGGAATAGTGAGGTTGGATGATTGCTTGGATTGTTTTGATGGAATATTACTTGGATCAACCCATATGCAATCAAGAAACCGGGAAAATTGGGTTTCCTTTAACCCTCCCTTTTTTTTTTTTTTGGTTTTATTCTATGGTTTTGGCTGGTGCATTTGTTTTCTACCTTTTAGAGAATGGCTGTCCAAATTAGTAGAATTTTTATTATTTTTATGGTTTTGGACTTTGGCACACCAAAGTAGAATTTGGGGCCCTTTTCTCTGTCTTTATGGCTGGTGAATGTCAAAACTAATCTCTGAGATATAAATGAGGGCAGAATTGACCTTTTAGAGCGGGAAAATGTTTGGAAAACCAGATGGAGTCGAGGACACCATCATCATAAATGTTTTAAGAAAAAATGAAGATTAGAAAAATGGATTACGGATGCCTTTTGAAGACATTCGGATCCCATCGGATTCAGACCCCTGTTTTTAAATTTTTAGTTTCGCGTTCGAGTACTTCCTTTCTCTTATTCGGCAAGTTTGTTGAGAGGCTGATAAATTATCAAATTTCTGGGTTTCTTTTTTCATTTTTTTTTCTTTTGACAGCAGAGCTTAGAAGTTAGAACCTTCAGACAAATTCGTTGCACCCAGCAGCTTTTCTACCCATTCGGTAAGGAATACAAAGGCACGTGCCCGAAAAGTGAAAGGACAAATTGAGTTTTGAGTTTTTCGTATTGTTCAAACTTCTAAAATGATGGTAAACTAAAGCACGTGATGTGTTAATTACACTATACATTGATCATCCCAGATGGAGAAAATGAAGGGTGAATCATCATTTTAACGAGAGCAGAGGGGATGAGTCCCAAGAAAGAATTATATGATTCCACAGCTGAAGGTGTATGTACAAAGTTAACGTCACAATTGCATAACGGAAATTCTGTACTCTTCTTTCTTCCTTCTCTATACAGAATTTTGGAGGAAAGTCGGTATTCCTACCTCAGACAACAAAGAATATAAACAAGAACAAAAGAAAGAATATTCAGTTAACCGACCCGTATCTTGGAGACCTCAAAAATAAGTCACCTTAGTGTGCATCTGCATGTTCAAAGAATGCACGCTGGCAGCTTTCAACCGTGCTGATCCTACATAACCTGCAGAGCAGACCCCTTTGCTAGTCATCTTCGAGATTTTGCAAGAACTAGTAAATTTAATGAATGAACAAAGCATCTTTCGAATGTGATCGATCTAAATGAACACATTCCCGAACAGCAGAGCCAGCCAAGTCTTAAGGAGTGACACAAAATGCACAAAAAACTGGGATGACTGCCCAACCGTATCAATCAAAGGTTTCATCCAAGAAATGGCAGATTGGATAATTTGCTCAGTTATCAACCCAAGAGGGCAGAACGATCCTTGATGCCAGCATTCAATTCCTGGATTACACGTCATTAATTATACGTAAAACACCATAACGATCACATATGGAATTTTAGATAAAAATTTAAAATTTATTCAGTCCAATACTTTAGCCTAATGATTTATTTTTTACCTTTGAAGCCTGCCCCAAAATCATCCACCTCCTTGCAAGAATCGCAGGAATCAATATGGCAGAAAGATTTTCAACAAAGTACCCAGGCTTTGAGCAAAACTTCATTGGTGCCCCTTACAAAACCTCTCATCTTGTTCATCTTGGGGCAATTATTAGACACAAGTCTGGCACCAACTTGTCACGAATTGTGTATAATAGCTTAACAGAATATAATCTCAAGAGCTAATGCACTCAATCCTTGTGGAGCCAAGAGCTCTTCACAAACTTCAATCACAAGGATTACAAATAAAGTTATGCTCCAAGGCTCTTCGCTGCACACAAACAATTTTTAGAAAAATAATCAACCGCTAGGAATCTTTTTTCCCCACAGCACCAGCAGAATTTTGCTTCTTCTGTATACCATATTGCCAGGCATCTCTAGATTTATCACCCGACTGATCAAAATCATCCAAGGAAGTCTCCATTGGTGGCTTAAATGGCCAATAATTCCCATTCCTAGAAATTACTGATGTTCCTGACTTGTCCTCATCTTCTGATGGTGTTCCTGACCTGGAGTCCATGTGCATATCTAATGATCTGTGTCTTGGTCCAGCAGACCTTAAACCTCTCATATTAGAAGCCTTACCCTGTGATGCAGGGTAACCAAGTCCCCTTGGCCCTGAAAAATCTCTGGAGAGTAAGTCTTTAGGGAAGTCCTTGGGGAGAGAATCCATATCCATATAACAATTCCTGGCTTTGGCATCAGCAATTAAGGCTGCCCAGTCATCAGATTGCACCAGAGCATTGGCATTACCCATAACCTGTTCAAACAACAATGTCAAATCCAGAAAAAAGAAACACACACATACACCCACCCACAAACAACATCAAGCAGTTGGAGGAGGATCTGAGCAACAATGTAATAGCATAGAAGACTAGAAGAAATAACTCATACCCACAAAGCCCTTCTAGCACGAGTAAGAGCAACATTCATTCGACGAATGTCTGCAACAAAGCCCACACCATGACTAGAGGCCCGGACACAAGACATAATAATAACATCACGTTCCTGGCCCTGGAAAGCATCTACAGTATTAATATATAGATCCTTCCCTTCCTCTGATTTTATAACACTTTCAAACTCACGTTGTAGGCATTTTAGTTGCAGCTTGTATGGTGTGATTATACCCATGGTGATTTTGGGCACACCGAAAGATTTTAAAGTTTTCTGTAGATACTCATACAAGCGCAAACAAAACACTGCCTCATGCACATTTTGATACGATACAGATCCACCTCTATGGGACTCCCGGCCATGGGTAATATCATAGAATAAATAAGGTTTAAGTAAAGGGTCCTTGTAGTAAGCCTCGTCAGGTAAGTTAGAAACACTTTCACTATCAGTAAGACGTCCTTGGTAGAAGTACCTAGAAGGAAAATCCCTAATTTGGGGATGCATCCTATATTGCACAGACAACAACATAGTTGGGCATCCTGCTTGCTGGAACCTTTCAAAAAGGCTTCTACTGTATAAGAGGGTCCCAGCAGCCTTGCTAATGACTGTTGCAGGAAGCTGCTGGGGATCCCCAACAAGTACGCATCTTGCTGCACCAAGAGAAAGGGGAGGAAGAACTGCAACTTCACTGGCTTGAGCTGCCTCATCAATGACAACCATATCAAAACCATGCGTAAGGCGAGAGAACAACTTACGACCACTACTCGAAACTGTAGTGAAAACAATCTCAGCCTCATTGGCAAAGCTCGCCTCAAGGTTAGCACGGGCTTCTTCTAAGTTGAAGTTACTGCCAGCACGGAACCTAGCTTCTAAAATGAGAAGGCGAGACATCTCAACTAGAACCTTATCTCTGTTTTCAACAACTGCAGCCAGGTTCTGTAACAGTACATCTCGGTTCTGGTCCCGAGCAACAAGAATATCAGGGTCTACACCGACAGATCCTTGGGACCGAACAGCAGCAGCTGTGGCAGTAAGTTCCCTCTGAAGAGTAGCTATCTGCTGAGATAACATACCTTCCCGAGCCCTTAAAGTGTGCATATGTCCTAAAATTTCTTCACGACTCTTGAGTAGAAGTTGTTCAGTTCTCCGCTCAACAGAAACTGCCTGGGCAGCCCGTGTTTGAGAGTCTACCCCAACTCTGGCCACATCAGGACGGTAGATTTTCATCTCACCATCAATAAATCCTCGACCAAGAACTCGAGCAAGAAGCTCATCAGTTGCAGCATTAGAAGGAGCACAAACTAACATTCTGGGTTTTGGGCAGAGTTTTGGAAGGGTGCGGAAAAGATTCTGGTCCATGTTCTGAAGGACTTCATCAATCGAACCCATTGCAACATTGTCAGGATTGCTCTCATTAGCTTGCTTATAGCTCTCAGGTGCTAATTTCTTAAGCAAAGAGGTATAATAGTGTTGATATTGAACCAGATGGATCACATTTAGCATCCCCCAGACTGTATGTGTCTTACCCGTTCCAGGAGGCCCTTGAACAAGTGTAAAAGGCCACGGCTCCTGCCTCTTTGTTACCCCACTACTTGTTCCAGCAGCTGTATGCGTAGCTGCCCACTGGATTGCTGCAAGCTGAGGCCCATTAAAGGTCCTACGCAAATAATCAACAAAATTTGGCGTGAAGCATTCAGGCATAGCAGGAGTTTGCTGCTCATATTTTGGAAAGTGATCTGGACTTGGTTTAAGGATTGCAGTTTGCATCTGTGCATAAGAGAAACTTTGTTAACCCTGGCAAGATATATCAAGCAACACGAATTACATCTATCCACGTAAATCTTTAAAAATAATATTAAATAAGTACCTGGGAATTAAGACGACAAAATGCATGCAATGCCACATACTCACGCTGGGTAGTTGCAAGAGATCCAAGAACAGTTAGATACCAGATAGCCCTGGGTTGAAGTTTCCGCAGAATGTGATCTTCATCAACCTTGCTGTAAAAATTAATATGTTATTTTAACATTAAGAAAAACAAAAAAACAAAAGGGAAAAAATAATGCTTATGAAATTTGCCCAAGCTTATGGGATAATCAAAAGGAGTTAGGCTCCTTTCCACTATTTTTCTGTCCATTACTTTCCAAAATAACTTTAATCACCATTCACAAGTATGACTTTCACAATTCATAGGTAGGTCCTACAAATGTGAATGGTGTTGATAAGTGTCTCAAAAAATAATGGAGGGGAGCCAACCCAATCAATAGCAGCACAAAAGCCTAAGGATAAAAGTGCACTCAAAACTGCACAATATCAATAAAGAAGTGATATTTCTCTAATTACCCATTTGAATCATAGGAATCCCCAACATAAAAGTGAAGGATTGCACCAAGAGGCTCACGAGTATCAAGGGGTATGTGTCGCCTAACAGTACCAACCACACGTCCAGTAACCTCAGCCTCATCATCTTCCTCGATTGAAGACGTGTTGGTCCGTTTGGTTCTAACTACAAGATACAAGAAATAAACATTTCTAAGATGAATATGAATTTGAAATTTTCCAAAATAAAAAAAAAAGTCTTATTCCAGTATCATACCTGAGCCGGGCCTCGGGGCCGATAAAACTGCAACGTCACCCTCCTTAAATACCCACTTGCACTCATTAGCAGGAAGAACTATCACATCATACCATCCTAAACCAAAAAAAAAAAGGAAAATTTCTTCCAATTAATAAACTAGTGGAAATATTTACTCTCAATCCCAAAAATAATTGACCTTGTTTCTACACTAAAACCAAAAAGTTATCCAGAATCAAAATTCCAAACTAACATTGTCAAACTTACTAAACCCTGTTACCTGCAGTAACTACTTTATCAAATATGATATAGACTACAAAGATGTAGACTACGAATAGTAATCAGGCACTTTTACCTCTTTCTCGCCTTTCAATGTTTTTGATACGGACCATTATATGTATATCTCTTGAAGCTGATTCAGCTAACTCTTCCCATGTGCTGTAAAGTTGTGCACGGCATTCCTCAAAAAGCAAAGGCTCAAATACTCTGACATATTCTTCTACAGATTCAAACTGTCCGGGAACGCACTGGAGTTCAGTATCCTCTGATACATAAAGTGATAAAATTAATTGCCAAGCACACAGGCTAAAAGTCCAGATATAAATTTAATAAATCAACAGAAGGAAAAGATAAAAACAAACAACATAGAGATGAAAGAAAATCCAAGTTAACCCTCGAAACTAAGAACACTATCATGACACTGTGATTACTTCCATATTACCTGAAAAAATGAAATGCAATCTAGGAGCTGCCAACCAAATAAGTCAAAGAAAAAAAAGCAGGACCTTTCTTCAATTCCTTCAGAAAATCAGTCATGTCACTTAAGCAATCCATGAACAAATCTTCAAAAGGTCCCATGCCAGAAAAAAAGAAAGAAATATATTTTACAAAGCATTAACTAAATATACATTCTTTTATAGTATTGTATATCAATGGCTTCAGAAATCCAACGAAATGTTAGGGCTCAATTTAATAATATTCAATTTCTAAGGCTTAGCAAATAGTAGAAAATCAAGAATAAGTACCCAGAGAAATCTCCTAAAACATGCATGTGGCCAGCAATAAAAATTTCAATGGCTGTTTATTCAATTACAAAAATTTCCATTAAATACATAATTCCACTTCAAGGAGCAATAAGTAAACTAGGATACACCACAGATATGCCACATGAATAGTCTCTGCGATAAAAATTCTCTTCAGAAATAACCAGATCATGAGAACTATGCTAATAGATATTGCAGATAAATCAGTAAAAACAGTATAACTAAAAGCCAGCTTTCAGAATAAAAATATATATCTCATCACCTTCCATGTCCTCTGTGCGTTACCATTCTCATAGAGTAATAATTGAAGGGACATGGATAACTGGCATGAGAAAAATAATAAAAAAAAAAACTGTAAAAGCAAGCAGTAGGAAAAAAAAGGAATACGAATATCTGGAATCAAGAAGTTTAGTAGTCAAAAGCTATTTTTAAATCTGCAAAGATATACATGTTACCTGGGTGATGCCAAAACTTTTCATTGGTCACCTCTCGTATAAGACGTTCCACAGATGTGTCTTGATACGAGGTACTAGTAGCAGTTGTCTTTTTAGAAGGAAGATGTTTCTTGTTTACTATCTTTGCTTCCATAGAACTTTGGCTGATTGGAGCTGGCTTTCTATTAGAAAACTGTAAATTCTTAAGCTGCCTCGAATCTATAGGTTGTTTCCATGAACTCTGTCTTGGAATGAGTGGTAGATGAGCCTCTGAAAGATCAGTGTCACTATTTAACCTTCTAGGCCTGGCAAGGAGTCCAGAATTCGTATCACCATTACATTCAGATATAGGATCAAATGACTCCACTACAGGATTGCTTCCTTCATTACATGGTAAATCAACTTGCTTATTATCCTCATTTATTTGCTGACCTTGCTTTTCTCCAACACGTTCACCAGGTGGAGGAATAGTACGAATTTCTTTTACAGTACGAGTAACAACTGGCGTTGGAAAGTTCTGCCTTCTTGGAGTAGAAGTTTTTATAGGGCCAGCTTGTTTGACATCTTCCAAATTAAGAAACATGGTCTTCCTATTCCGTTTCTTTCCCAGCATTGCTTCTTTCTGTTGGTCTATCTTCCTCTTTCCTGGATTATTTGCACACTTAAGTGCATGACTAGCTTCAATACCTTTAACTTCTCTTTGTTTTGGCACTAAGATAGGTTCTTCTTGACCATTAATGAATATATCACCTTTACCATTGCCTTCTGAATTTTGGACACTATTGCCTTTCTGATTACTAAGATTTTGATCTAGTCTTAATGGAGAATGACTGTTTTCAGCAGCACTGACACTTTCAAGAGTGACACCTGAAGCACTAGAATCCATCACTTCCTGTAAACCTTGCTCTTGTGAAGTTTTAACCTCTTCATGCAGTCTATTATTTCCATATGCATCAGCAGAACCCTCAGCATCAGACCATTCACCTTCTTCTCTTTCCGCAGCTTGAGAATTTGCAAAACCCGAAACAAAGGAAGCTGCTACATGAGCTTTTGTCTCCCCACTGTTATTTGACTTCAAAGAAGATGATGCCAAATTGGGATCCTGATCTCCTGACCTCTTGGGTTCAACACTTACTTCAAGGCAAGGAGAAGCTTTAGGCCGAACAAAAGGCTGAAAACCCGAACCAGATGATGCATGTGAGAATGCATGGTTATTTAAAATTCGTTGCGAAGCTGCGGCTGTCACAAGCAAGTCAGAAACATGGGGATTTGTAGATGGAAGTGCCTTTTGTGGCTTTAAGCAGGTAGCGCTATCACTCTCCTCATCATCTTCGGCTGGGGGTTCATTAAGATCAAACAATAGTCTTCCTCGGGAGCCCATTTCATATATAAATACATACAAGCTGTATGACTATTCCAACAAAATCTATCGGGGTGTACTTGTGTTATCGTTTCAGCAAAAAATGCATATGTGATACCAAGCTGTACATATAGTAAAACATAATCAGTGTAACTAATAAACATAACTCTAAAAGCAAGGTAGCTTAAGCAAACAAAATACAATTAATTGAACACAAGTTTGCACATCTGGTAAGAAACAAGATGCTAGATTCGAGAAACAAGGGAATTTACTTGCTAAGCATCCATCTAAAAAGTATACAAACCTTGAATCATGAAACAAAAACCAAAAGACAACCAGTAAGACTGCCAAATCGACACATCCACTTGCATACACATACTTTTATTAATTAATAAACAGTTCCAAAAAAGAAAAAGAATCCCCACCAATGTACCATTATTATCTATTTACAAACAATATGCAACAAATCATTCAAAATAATGCCGAACAAAAAAAAATCACAACAGAACAAGGGCAACAAGATTACTTTCGAAGGGGCATTAAACTCAATCAATACCAATCAACAGTGTATAGTACTCAAATTGAGTAAATAATTTCACTTAATTGGATGCAATGAGAACATTACTAAAAAAACTGAATAACTTCACCCGCCCCCAATCATAACTAACTTAAAATTTAAAAAGAACTCCAAACGAAACTTAATTAGAATCATAAGATCCCCGAATTAGACCTAACCTAAGTTTAATCTCGATAAGCAGATAATAGTTTAACCGAATTAACCCTCATATCACCGCCAGATCGAAATCCCTAATCCAATAAAAAAAAACCTAGGGCTTTAAACAAGCAAAAAAAAAGAATCTAAACACTTACGTTCCATTTTCTTTCCTTTCAAATCCGCGAATTTTAGAAGATCCATAGCCTAAAATCTTTCGCAGATCAAAATAAGAAAACCTAATAACGTCTTAAAACACGTCAAAGATATGTTTATCCAAACAATGCATTAATCCAAAGGTCAAAGTCTCTGATCTTCGATTCAACAACGTCTAATTCCATTCCTCCAACAGTTTCTCGATATTCGAAATATATAAATCCCAAAAAAATAGAAAAAAAAAATCAGTTGAGACAGAAATTTCCCTTTTTATAATTTTATTTTTATTAATATTTTTCTTTTACCTCTAGAGAGCTGCAGAGAAAGTAGCGAGCCAAAGAAAGAGAGATTAATAGAGAGATTGAGAGAGAAAACGAGGGAGTGTTCCTTTTCTATTGGAAATGGAATGCAAAATCTGAAGGGAGAGAACGGGTTTATATAGGAAAAAACGAGCCCATTTAGCCGGTCGGTTTTTCTCCGTTCACGGTTTAATTATTTCCCCGTCATCATTTCATAAAAAATCAACAAAAAAATCCCACGCCTTTTGCCCTTTTTTCTTTTTTTTTTTATTTTATATTTTATTATTTATGCATCCGATGAAACTGAATTTACGCAAACCATCCTAAATAGAACCCGACATACTGGGGGATCCTAGGTATGAATTAGGGGTAATGTTGGGAATTAAAGAAAAGAGAGGATTGGTTGATTTAGCTGAGTGGCTTGATTTTCCGTGTAGGAAACTCACAGGGAAGAATCTTGTACTTTAGTGAGCTAGCGGACGCTGATATTACTTAAATTTTGCGGGGTCCAGGGCGATTCCACATGATCTTAGGGACAATAGTGCCTGGGGAGATATTAAGAAATTGACACGTGTTTCGTGACGAGAAACTGCCATTTTTGGTTTCTTGAGGGTTAATTTCGTCAATCCGAAGGCGGAACATAGGCAACCTAATGCAGTCCCACGTGCGTTCGAAGGCGGACGCGTGGCCATTCCTATCAAATGACAACGAGGACAAGTTTTTTCCGGTTTTTTCTCGTGTGCGAACGATGGTGTCCTTTATTTACGAAACTGCCACTACTGATTGGGTGGTGGGCGTACGTGAAGTTAGGCGCGTGGGAGAGTTGAGACTCTTTGCTCAATTAGAGGAAGTACAATTCATATTGATGTATGGTTTCTTTTCTCTATTCAGCTACCAATTTCTTTTTTTCTTTTTTTTAATTCATATTCATGAATGATTCATGAATATTTCAGCGAAAAATAAAATAATAAAATTATCAAAAAAAGATGATAATAAAAGTTTAATGGTCATGAATCATGACTCATCAGCCATGACTTTGGAAGTTGTAACAACAAAAAAAAAGTGACAATTTTTAATGCATGTCAATCGAAATGACTATTATATCCTAATACTCATGCCAAATGTTTAGAGAATCATTAGACTTTTTTATATCAAATCTTGACTATTAATAGTAAAAACTTTTACTTGCAACCATTGATTTACTTAAATGAAAAGTTTAAGATTCAAAATAATACATAATGTATGGAGATTTTATGCCTGTATTTGAAAAGCAAAATAAAAACTTAACTGTTTTGCAATAGAAAATTTTTAATAATAATAATAATTAATGCGTATGGCTGCTTAAATAACTTAGAGATTGAAATTAACAAATTAGTTGATGTTGATGGCTAAATTTTAATATCCACGCAAGCAAAGGATTGTAGATAGTTTTTTTTTTTTGTTAGCTTTAGTTGAATAAAGTTGAGTTAGATTCGATAAATTGGCATGCGATATTTGAATTGTTTGAGAGAATCTAATTTATTACTATCATCATAGTCTACTACTAAAATAAAATAAAAATTCACAAAAAAAAAATCAAATATTTCAACGGCTTCTAGAAGACTTGTTCTCTTACATATATATATATATATATATAATTTAATGGTAATGAAATAATAAATTCTTTTGAGGTAATGTATTAAAAATTAAATTTTAACTTAATTAATTCAGACGTAAATTTAAAAAAATGATATTTAATATATTTTAAATTAAAATTTCTATTAATCTTTTTAATCGTTGTACCAACAAATAATAAATTAAAGAAAAATTGCCTTTTTAAGTTTCAAAAAGGAATATAAATTATATGCATTTTCGTATTTTAGTATAAAGGCAAAAGAAATGAATATGTGCCAACCTATTTCTATTTTTGCAAGTGAATTGGAAATAAAAAGGGGGTATTTTGTAACTTTGCAAGTCGAAAGATTAGCAACTTTTGTCTAGTAGATGTCAACCAATAAGAAGAAGATACGCGTATTGAAATTCACAATATGTATGACAGAAAGAAAAAAAAAAACAATATGAACAATAAAAAAAGAAATTAAAGGTAAATTTGTAAATAAATTATTAATTTAAGTTAAATGGATATTTTCCTTTCATATTTGAAATTATTGATTTAAAAAAAATGAGCAAATTCATTTAATTTTTTATTTTGCTCTTATAAAATAATTTTTTCTTTCCCATTTTTTCTTCCTTGCCAAACACACTGTTAGTTAAAAAAAATTATAAAAGTAAAAAGTAAATAATTACGACACACACCCACTTAACAGTTAATTTTAACGCTAAAGTTAAAATTACAGTGCGTGCGTCGCGTGACAAAAATAACCGTAGTAAATCTCTCGTGCACGCTCTGTTTGGAAAGCGTCTATTTCATGTGTAGTATTTAAGAATTTTATTATATTTAACAAACAAACCTTTAGCTTAGCTTTGCAGGAGAATGACAAAAAACCCTAGCATTGCCATGCGAGTCGGGTTTGGAGTTGTCATTGACTCGAACGAGTTGACTAGGCCAGCATCATCCATATGATAGAACCAGTACAGTTTTCCGAGTCTTGAGCCTAAATTTAAGCCCTTAACTTCCCTACAATTTCAAGATATTTAAGTAAAAAATCAATCACATCAATGAAAAACAAGCTTATATAAAGAAAATTTACAGTCGGTTCTTATTTTTTACAATTTTTTCCATCTTATTAAACATGTGATATAATAAAAATATCTAATTTATTGTAACTTTTTTATTAGAATTTTGATTGAATTTTTACACGTTAATTAATTATTCGTATTTTGCAAATTCACGCATGAGTTGAGTGATCTTATTTATGAATTTATTAAATAATTAATTTTTTATAAATAGTTTGGTCAACAATAATGAGGTAAGTTGCGTTACTCTTTGTATAAGTTATTTTATTAAATTTTAATAAGGTTTTGGATTATATGGTGGAATGAAAAATTTTGTCAAAATCTCAGTGCTGTTTAAATTAATTGTACTTGTTATATTTTGATGGTCATTTCATTAAAAACTTTGATAGTTAAGCTTAACATTTGAAAATTCAACCAATCACATAAATATCTATAAAGGTATAAAAAAAAAGGTACCGAACAAGTAACACATTCACAATTTCATTTTCTTTGCATTTTTTCTAATCAAACCTTTTCCCTGATTCTCTTTCATTTCATCTTATTTCTTATGCTTCATTGATTTATCGAAAAGCTTTTCAAATTGCTACTTTCAATAATTTTTTACTGTTATCTATGTGACATATCACATTTGTTATCTTATTCAATCTCCAATATATTCCTCAACCATCGAACTAGAAATTACATTAAAAGTGCTAAATATTTGTTGATGCAATATAAATAGTGATTATTACATATATAGGTAGATATGATAATTTGTGTTATCATATAATATAAAATATTATATTTGTATAATGTTTTATATAAAATATATAATATAATTTTTTAATTTTATTAAACATATTTATGATTTTTGTAAAATTTTAAATCGTGTTTTTTCATATTTTTATTCATATTATTTATATATTATATTTTTGTGTTATGCTTTAAATTATTATATTTACATACAAATTAAGCAGCTAAGCTCCTATTTATTTTATAAGTTTATGAAATTTCGAACTGGACCAAAATTAAGAGAGTTGGTGAGATTAGCCTTTGGTAGCTAAGAAACATAGTCTCACCTTGGATCCCAACGTTTTGAGTTGACTTTAAAGTCTTTGAAATAACGTCTTGATTCTAATTATGATAAATTACAAATTTCTTCGTTTAAATTTGATGTCAATTTGGATTGATATTTGCATTATGAATTCTTGCAATATTCAACTTTTAGAAATTATACCCACAATCAAATTCTATGGAATTTTCAAATAAGATGATTGGACGAGTATAAATGTTCGAATTCGTAAATTTTGGTCAAAGTAATAAAAATATATTGAAATTTTGATATTAAAACATTTAAGGTCAACATATTATTTTTATAAAAGAAATTAAAAATTAAAGAAAGAGTTATAAATGCTAAATTTTAAATTTAAAAATATTATTTTTTAAAATTTATTATAATAATTATATAAAACAATTCAATTAAAATTCAAGTTTAATTATCCCACTTTATGAGTATATCTTATATATTCCATTTTTTTTTTAATTAAGTAGAGATACAAGAGCGAGAATATAATCCCTTCCATAAGTCCATAGAAAATTAAAGATAGAGATATAACTGTGTAGACCTAATTCGATTTGGTTTCAAAAGTTTATAAATAGAGTAATAATGGTTTGGATTGAACTTCATTCAATTTTTTTTGAATAATATATAATTTTTAAATTTTATTTGAATTAAATTTTTACATGATTTGATATGAATTAAATTTTATCAATTTAATTTTATAAAAAAATTAAAGATAAGTAGATAACAATTAATATTAGATTCGATTCGATTTCAAAAATTCATGAAAAATAAAAAATAAAGTAATAGCAGTTTGGATAAATTTTGATTTATTTTTTTAATAATATAAAATTTTATGATTTTTAGATTTAATTCGAATTAAACTTTCATACGATCTGATTCAAACTAAATTATATTCGGTTCATTGGTTTTAAATTTTATTTTTTTTTATTTTTTTATATTATTTTTATATTTTTTAATATATTTAAATAAATATATAAAAAATAATTTAAATTTTATAAAAATAAAAAAAATATAAAAACTAATAAAAATGTATAATTTGATTTAAATTAAATTTTTTATTAATCTTTTATTTTTAATTTAAAATTTAATTTTACCCTAATATAAATATTTAATATTTAAATTTAATTTCATCCTAATTAAAAAAATAAGCTCAATCCGACCAGTGTGAATTGGGCCAATTTTCCAACTAGTCATTCTTTTTAACTCACCCCTTTTGTGAATGTCGATAGAAAGTTGTAACTCACCAAGTATTACTGCTTATACAATGAGTTCAAAGGTCAACAACAATAAAAATGGCGAACCCCTATATGGCTATATAGTCATTCCTTAGAAAAAAAAAACCATTGAAAATGGTAGCAGTTGCCTGTAGGTCTTTGTTTCCTTCCTGTAATAATAATCTCTGCTTTCGTAGTATATGAAGAGTGGGTCTGATTTCCTTCTAGCGAACTGCTGCCAAACACCACCGACCATCCCCATGAACATGTCGGGAACGAAGATGCTTCGCCTGACGATCTTAAGGTTATGATGGTCGCCAACTTGCTCTTGCTTGGCTCTGAAGTTGGTTTTGTCAACCCCTATTTCACAGAATATTTCATGTCCAAGTTTTTCAAGGTCAAATTTTTTTCAACCCTGTTTGCTGTAAGCAGTTTGAACTTTTAAAAAAACTTTATATCTCATGCATTAGGTGAAGGTGGTTATATTTATTAAATTATTTTCTGGGTTCATCGAATTCTTAAGGGAAATGAGAAATTTTGTTTTGAAAGATGACATGACCTTGCTTGGCTTGGAGGTGAGGTAGTTGCTATTGATTTATAAATAACAGTTATTTTTGGTTTGAAGAATAGAGAGATATAGGAATTCTGAAATCTCTGTGACTTTAAGTTCATTTGAATAAGACTTTGTCTGATTATTAAAATTATCGCTTGGTTTTGTATTTTTTTTGTTTGCTTCACAAAGGAAAAAACAAGTGGCAAAAGCAACAAACAATCAGTGGTTAAAGTTTTGTATTTTTATTTAGAAAATTTTGAAGTAAAAGATACTGACATTCTTTAGTAATAAGCAATGCAGAAATCTCTCCAGATTTTGAAGCCTGATATGCTACTAGTCAAAGGAGATGTTTCTGCAAACGGGTCAGAGTTGTCAAGAAGTAAATGGTTATCCGTGTTTCATCACTTTGATCTCATGTTGGGACCGTTTCTTGACCCCCCTTTACATGTTATTCTTGGTGAGAGGGATGTTGGAGAGTGTAGTGACCTTGATGCGAAGTCTGTTAATTGGAAGTTAAGGACATAGTCCAGCTTCAGTAGAGAGCAGGTAAATATATTTTTCTTATCGGTCTGCTCTCTATACTAGGCTTGTGTATCATGGATTTCATTTTAGAAAGTTTCCTTCTATTTTTTGGAAGAAATAATTTCCTGCATGGTAAAAGTTGCATGTTTGTGATAGAGTTTGGGTTGAATTGGAAGTTAAGGGCATGGTATTGAACCTACCGTCTTATAGACTGAACCTTCTCCTTTCTACTCCCTGGTTGATCATGGGTGAAGACCATCTTTTTTTGATGGGATCATGGGAGATGGGATGAATAATACAACAACAACAACCTCAAAAAACTAAGCCTTATATCCCATAACTTTAGGGAGATGGGATGAATAATGTTAAATAAAAAAATTTAAGCAAAATTTTACTCATTTTCTGAGATATGGATTAGCATGGTATTAATTCATCATGTCAATAGAATAAATACTTCAGACGCTTTTCTGGGATTGGCCCGTATGATGAATTAAAAATGTATTCACTAGCATTTGCCAAGCATTCTAATTAAAAATTGTCATTTTTTTCCCTTCAGAGGCTTTTCTGGGACTGGCCCTTATGATCTATCACAGACTGTCCCGCCAAATGCTAGTGAATACATTTTTCATTCTCTTAAACCTAGGTAAGCTTCTGCTTTTGAATCTGCAAATAATTTTCTGCTCACTTATCTTTGCACTTTCTATTGTAACCTAACGGCATGTATGCTTCCTCCTATTTATGCGATTATTAACTGTGGTTGAACTTCAACTACCAATAATTATTTGTTTTCCCCTTTGTTGGGCATAATGGTATGTTTGGAACAAGTTTAATGCCTTTTAGAATGCATCTTTGGAGGATTACCTGTTGACTAACTACATTTTGTTCAAATTGAGTATCATATAATAGAACTCATTATTCCCTCTAGGCATCTTTGATGTTAGATATGGCTACTTGAAAGTAATGATGATAAAGTAATTATATTTTAAACTTCTGGCAGTGAAGCAAATTTACACCTATATTCCTTGTTATTGTATCAAATACATTACAATTGAAAGGTTTAAGTTGATGATTTTGGAGTACCTCCCAAACATTTTATGTTGTGCATTATTCACATTGGAGACATGGCTAACTATATTCACATCAGTGTCACATTTCACGTTTTTACTGGCCTAGTATCGCATCAGCTAACAGACTTGTCAGAGTTGGTGACTTAACTACATAATCTAAAATCACATTTTGTGGGTCACTGGAACAAAATTTCTGTTTAGTGCAAAATAAAAATTTGATGAGTTCAAGTGCCATTAGTTTCATAATTTCATTTTCACTGTAGCTGATTGTTATTTATGAAATTGAAATGCATTGATTTGCAACTAATACCTGAAGGACTAAGGTGTTTAGGGCAACATTTATTTGGCTAGTGCCTTTTGGAATTTCCTATATAGTGATGCTTGGCTTGCTGCCTAGTTAGGGACCGTTTATCATCAACTGGGTGAATTTGCCAGTCCCTGCTCCCCTTGTTTAGATGACGACTCTGATCTCATACTCTTTGTTTTCCATAATCAAGAAATAAAAGCCTTCTTCTATAACCATCAAACCATCTTCATTGGCTCTGCTAAGGTGCTGGCAAGGGCTAAGTTCAAATTCAATTTCAGCCCTCTCTCCTGCCTTCAGATTCACACTCTGGAATCCAATCAATTGTTTCATGGGGTTCCCTTTTCCCACCCTTGAATGCCTAACAAATAACAACACTGGATGCTTACCTGCCATCTCTCCAGAGTTTTCAACTCCAACTTTGACTGTAAACTTACTCTTCTCACAGAGTTTGGTGCCCATCTCTGAAACTGATACAAATCTGATAGGATTGGACTTCCTGTTAATATGCTCACTTGGATGCTGATTGAAGTAAAGCTTTTTTTGGGTCACAGAGAGGAATTTGTAAGAATAATTTGAGTAGCTGAGCCCATAGCCGAAGTCAAAAACCTTTGGGCCTTGGTAGAATCTGTAAGTGCGGCCAGGGTAGCCTGAAGATGGTTCAGCACGCATCCTCATGTCTGTCATTGGTGTTTTGGTGAAACTTTGTGGATACCAAGTAACGGGCAATCTCCCTCCTGCATTGAAACAGGTATTGTAAGTCATTTATCTATAATACTGAATTGCCTCTTCCAGTTTTTTATGTAAAGAAATGGAATTAATTTTATCCTACAAGCTTTACAACTGAGGGTTACCTGGGTTATGGTCACCGAAGATGATTTCTGCTAGTGCAAGTCCCCCAGCTTCACCTGGATAACCGGCCCACAAAATGCTTCCAACATTCTGGTCATATTTGGCAAAAGATACATCTACTGGACCTCCGCAAAGAAGCACAAGAACAACAGGCTTCTTTGCAACTCTTGCAATGCTAGTGATGAGTTTCTTTTGCTTCCCTGGGAGCAACAAGTCCAGACGATCAAAATCTTCTCTCTCTTCAGTTTGATCAAGTCCCATTATTAACACCACCTGATCTGCTTCTTTTGCTATTTGAACTGCTTCCTCGATTAAAGCTGAAGAACAACTTATTGTGTTACAACCTGGGTGATACCTGGTTTTCTTAACATACTTCTGCAATGCTTGTAATGGTGTAACAGTTTTGCAAGGAGGGCCTTCATAGTTTCCAAGAAGTGTATGTGGAATATTTGCATTGGGGCCTATTACTGCAAGGGACCTGGTTTTTGCTCTTGAAAGAGGGAGAAGTCTGGCATGGTTCTTTAAAAGGACAATGCCATCGCGAGCAGCATCAAGGGCTAGATGTTGGTGCTTTTTGGAACAGACTTGGTTGAAACCAATGTTGCCAAAAGGCTGTTTAGCTGGATTGCCGTTGAAAAGCCCCAGTCTCATTCTAACAGAAAAAAGGTTCTGAAGGGCTCTATCTATCTGGGATTCAGGTAATTTATTCTTTTTGACAGCAGATTTGGTATGGTCCTGCAAATACGTACCACAGTTGACATCCATTCCTGCAAAGTTGTGATTCAAAGTTTGGTTTAGCATAAAGAGACAACATTCTGTGATCTGCTTGCTAAATCCCCAACAATGACAATCATAAACCTTTTGGCTAATCATTAATATGTTAAATCTAGTTTTAGGATGATTGCTAAATCTAGTTTTAGGATGATTGTTAAATCTTAATGTATCATAATAATAATCCAAGTGATTTGGCTATCAAGTTAATGGAATATTCACTTTCCTTACCCTTGGAAATCCCATTGTTTTCTGGCTGTTTTGGATAAGAGATTGTAGTCTGCACAGTTGGGGACTCCATTGACACGATTGTATGCACACATAATCCCGCTGGCTCTTCCCTGTTGTATGCAGCCATAGAATGAAGGCTGGTATGTATCTGCTAAATCCTGCAATGTTACCTGAAGCAAGGGGTAAAAAACGAAGGACTCTAATCAGAAATGAACCATCGACATGAAATCTACCAAAAATACTAAAAATGAAGATAAAAAAAAGAACAAACAAGATGGAAAACTTGTCTTAAAGTGTGGACATACATTAGCATCAAAGACAAATCGACTGACACCCTTCCAGTTGTCCAAGTCATATGCTGTGAAGTGCTTGCAGCAGGCTGATGCTTGAAGATGTTGTCCAAGCTTCCCTCCTTGGAAAGAGTCTCCTTGAACCCCTCTCACGAATGACATTGCATACTTCCCTGAAACCAGTGGATCCTCACCCGGTGTCTCCTGCCCTCTTCCCCACCTTGGATCCCTATATATGTTTATATTTGGGGCCCAAAATGTCAGCCCTCTTGCTTGTCCAGCGTTAAATAGTGCTCTAGCTTCTCTTCCGATGACCTATACTCCATTATCAAAAAAACAATGTGAAAGCTCCAAGCAACAATCTTTCCAAATATGAGTAATTACTTTATCTTTGTGTAGGAGCCTATTATTTTATAGGTCAAATTGTACAAATAATCCATGTACATGAAATTGTAAATTTCAATTTAATTGGTAATAGAGTTAGTTTTTCATTGTTTTTTTTCACTAATGTGTATGTTGAATTGTTGATGTAGACATTGACTCTAATAAGGTGGCATTGATGAAAGATAATATAACATTTTTCAAAAAGTTTGAAATCTAAAAGGAATGACATGAATTTGTTTGGCATGGACCAAAGACTTTGGGTAAATTATCTAAACAATGTATGGTAGTAAGGAGTTGAGACTCACTTGACCAATGCGATACCAGAGGTGGGCATCAAAGGAAGCAGCAGTAAGAATGACTTGAGGAAAACTTGTGGCAGCTCGAATCTTCCCATTGAACTGGATGCCATAGGTGGAGTTGGAAACAAAGGCGACGCCATGTAAGGCTTCGGACCACCACTGGTAGGCAGGGATGCCGAGTCGTGGAATTGGAGGGGCTGTGTTAACTAGCTGTGATATTTTTTCATCAAGTGTGAGCCTAGATATTATGTCTTCAACTCTTTGGCTGATTGGCAATGTGGTATTGCAAAAAGGGTAGAGTTTGGATGATGGGTGAGAAGGATCACAGGTGACCGGTGGCTCAGCTGATTCAGCCAAGAGAAGAAGTGAAGTTAAGAGAATGAAAGATGAGAGATTGTAGAGCTTTGGGAGCTTCATTTTGTAAACTTTGTCTGCCTTTACGTGTGGATACTAATGACCGGCGGCCAAAATTACGATGAAGTAACCCCTATGTTATAACAATTATAATGTACCTAGAACATGATCCAAAGGATATGCTTCATTAACGACAGGATCCAGACCAATCGCCACAATTCTTGTAAAATTATGACCAATAAACAATGGTTGGATTTTCCTCATGCTTCATAACATGATATAAAAAAAGACTTGATCACATTGAGAACTGAAAAGTAAACAAGAAATTATAGTATATGATAATTACTTGATGGAGGATTGATTCTATATTTTTTGCAAACTACCACATGACATGGCAGATTAAAAAATTAATGATTTCACCCATCCTTAGGTTTACGCAATCAGCAATCACATGGTTCTTTCTCTTGTTAATGGATTTTTCTCTCTTGTTTAGCTTAATACTGTATTTAGTATGATTCTTTGAACTTCGAAAGAATGCTAATGAGTCAAAACCATAATGGAATATGTTAAATCTAGTTTTAGGATGATTGCTAAAGGAGTTTCAAAATTCTTGGGACAGGCATGGCCCTCTCCTGCTTTGATGTGGCACCACCAGAGAAAACGACTGTAGTCTCTGATTCATCTCAAATGCTCAAGAAATCGGATCCTTCATCCTTCATCCATCACCATCAGATCATCTTCATTTGCACTACTAAGATGCTCGGCTCAACTCAAATTTAATTTCTGCTCTTGCCCCTGCATTCGGATCAACAATTTTGAATCCCACCTATTGTTTCATTGGCCTCCCATTATAAGCCTTTGCTTACCTCACAAACAGCAACACCGCATGCTTTGCCCTATGTTAATACCCTTCCACTACTAATGGTGAAAAAATTTAGATGAAAAAGAATTAATATATATATATATATATATATAATATCAATTAATTCCTCAATAGAAGGCATCTAAGAATTGTTTGGTCTGGAAAATCTCAATCTTGGTACAATTTGGAAGATCATGTTGGCTTAAACTGAAGATTGTTTTTTCTGAAGGCCACCTTAATAAATGTTTTGCATGCATAGTCTGGCCTTCTGCCATATGTTTCATTCAACCAACAACTAGATACAAAGTAGAATTAAAACAAAGCTTCTTCCTAAAAATACATGATGGATATTAATATCTTATGTACTTGATAAATTATTATCGGAACTTGTGGCCTGTCTGGCCCACATGTATCAAATTACAATAGTAATTGGGTGCTTATCATCTCCTACAACCAGGAAATGTATTCCTTCTTCCATTACCATCAGACCATATTCATTAGCCCTACTTAGATGCTCACAGGGGCTTACCTCAAACTGAATTTCAGCCATTTCCCCTGCACTTAAAATCACACTTTGGAATCCAATCAATTGTTTCTTTGGCCTCCCATCTCCACGGTTTCCTTGCCTTGCAAATAGCAACACGGGATGCTTACCTGCCATCTCCCCATGATTTTTCACTCCAACACAAACTATAAACTTCCTTTGATCGCAGACTTCTGCACCTAACTCTGAAACTAGTTTGTATTGTACGGAATCTGAGGTCACAGTCGTACGTAAACTTGAAGAATGATTCAAGTAAATACTATTTTGGGACACACGGGTGAACTCATAAGAATACTTTGAATAACTAATGCCATAACCAAATTCAAAGACTTTGTCTCCTTTATAGAATCTATAGGTGCGGCCAGGATAGTCTGAAGATGATTCGGGCCTCATCCTCATGTCTGTCATTGGTACTTTGGTAAACTCTTGAGGATACCAAGTTACAGGTAATCTTCCCCCTGCATGGCAACATTTAGTGAACCATCATTAATCATAACATTTCTTTAGCAATCGACAGCATCAGTTATTTTGCATAGATAGAAAAGAAGCACTTTTTCTCTAAGCAAGGACATGGTGATGGCTTGTTACCTGGGTTGTGATCACCAAAGATTATTTCTGCAAGTGCAATACCTCCTCCTTGTCCGGGATAACCTGCCCAAAAAATGCCACCAATTCTCGGATCATCCTTGGCAAAAGAAACATCAATTGGACCTCCAGAAAGAAGCACCAAAACAACCGGTCTCTTTGCAGCTTTTGCAACACTAGTGATGAGTTCCTGTTGCCTCCCAGGAAGCAACAAATCAACACGATCAAGCTCCTCTCTTTCTTGAGTTTCATCTAATCCCATCATCAACACTACATAATCTGCCTGTTTTGCTATGTCTACAGCTTTGTCACTTGCACCAGTAGAACAAGAAACAGTATCACAACCAGGGCGGTAAACAGTGTTCTTAACATAGCTCTGTAATGCTTGCAAAGGAGTAACAGACTTGCACGGAGGGCCTGCATAGTTTCCAAGAAGTGTTTTTGCAGAATTGGCATTAGGGCCTATTACAGCAAGGGACGTGGTTGCTTTTGGAAGTGGAAGGAGTTTTGCATCATTCTTTAAAAGGACAATGCCATTGCGAGCAGCTTCAAGTGCTAGAACCTGGTGCTCTGGGGAGCAAACTTGGTCAGTCCCAATGTTGCCAAAAGGACGTTGCCCTGGATTTCCATCAAAAAGGCCTAACCTCATTCTAACAGCAAAGAGATTATGCAGAGCTCTGTCTATTTCAGATTCAGGCAGTTTTTTCTGCATTACTGCTGATTTGGTATATTTCTGCAAGTAGGATCCACAGTTGACATCCATGCCTGTAAATGTTTGTCAAACAAAAACATAATGGCATCTATTTGTTTTATCCACAAAATTTTCATGATTGAAATGTTAAATGGAATTCACGAGCAGTATAAATCCATCAACAGAAATGAAACAAAAACCATTTTCTTGGGATGCAGTAGTTTGTTTTAATTAAATTTCATTCTATTCCAATAAACTAAGGTCTTTGTGAACCAAAGTCAACAATTAGTTCATACCTTCCACCTTATATATTACCTCTTTGTTGTCTTTCCCATAAGAAAAACAAGAAACAACTTTCATAAAATGCAAGTGTTCAACTAAATCACATTAATCATTTATAAATAAATGCTGTCACAATTAGCATTGACCTCATAAAATCTCATTTAGATTGCATAAATTACATATGACAAGTATCACCTTTTAAGTTTTTTTATGATGCTTGTCATAGAGATTATCAAAGATGAATTATCAAAATTTCATCACATTCTTTAAAATCCTATGCTACACGTTTTCCATAGAAGTATTTCTCGCTACAATTGTAGGTGCAGAAAATGTTAGAAGACGAGTGCCAGTAATATTCAATTTTCCCCTCTTGGTAAGGAACTGCATCAATCTAAGCGTACAGAAGAATTAAAGAAGACAAAAGTCTTAGCAGGCTGCCATGGGCACAAGCCGCACATACTGTAATAGGCTATGAGCCCACAGGATCACGATTCACAGTGGTGCAATATCTAGGATCCAAAATCGTAGACATACTGTAATAGTGTGATGAGGAAGAAATTATTGGTAGTGTGTGGACTTTGCAATTATTAGAACTCAAATTCTGATACCCTCAAATACCAAAAAAGACAAAATATGAAAATACACGGACAAAGATAAAACTAGGCACATGTTGCTGCAATGCTACATAGGATAATATTACAAAGGCTGAGGTCCCGCATACCAGCTGTAAGAACATCAACAACAGCATCTTCCGGTGATTTGGCATATCCTTGAGCATTATGAATGATCGCGACTGCATCACAATCCGATGTGATATACCTGATTAAAATTTTCATGCAGTGAATAGAGGCCATTAGAACTAATAATTTATTCTAACATATTAAAATGTCATTGGGGTCTTGACAATTGACAAATGACAGGAAAAGAATACGCAGCACTTTATTGATATAAATTACCCTTTGAAATCCCATAATCCTCTCGCTGTCTTGGATAAGAGATTGGAATCTGCACAGCTTGGGACTCCATTCACTCTGTTGTAAGCACACATTATGCCGCTTGCTCGTCCATCTTGTACACAGCTCTGGAATGGTGGTTGGTATGTGTCGGCTAAATCTTGCACAGTAACCTACAAATATCCAAACAAAAAGTGTTAACTGCAACAGCAAAAGTTAAATACTGTTCTGGATGAGAGAGTTTGTAACATTAGAGACTAAAGTCGCTTTTATTAAAGTGGAATAACAACCGCATTTTCCTCCACTATAACAACTGGCTTCAACTGTAAGTCTTCTCTTCTTTGTCAAGGAAATATGATTATTGAACAATGCCCATGAATCAAGGTAAAACCCGATAAAGCGCATGCTTTCTGATCAAATATAAAATTCATAACGCTCACCTATAAACTAGGAGGAATCTTTGAAACAAGCTCCAAATCCAAAATGCATATAATCATAAAAATAAAACAACAATGGCTAACACTTACACGAGCATCAAAGACAAACCGGTTCATACCCTTCCAATTATCCAAATCATAAGCCGTAAAATGCTTACAACAAGCAGAAGCTTGAAGGTGCCCATTGAGCTTCCCTCCTTGAAAGGTGTCTCCTTGAATCCCTCTTACATATGACACTGCATATTTCCCTGTAACAAGTGGATCCTCCCCTGGGGTCTCCTGCCCTCTCCCCCATCTGGGGTCCCTGAATATGTTAATATTTGGTGCCCAAAATGTCATTCCATATGCTTGCCCTGCATTATATATTGCTCTTGCTTCTCTTCCGATCACCTTCATTAACATCATTACAATTAATAACATATCAGCCTTACAAAAAGTTCAAAGTAAACGATTAAATAACTAAATTTTCATTGAATTGACTAGACTTACTTGGCCAATGCGGTACCATTGATAAGCATCAAAAGAAGCAGCAGTGAGGATGACCTGAGGGAAGCTAGTGGCAGCTTTAATAGTACCATTAAACTTGATCCCAGGGCCTACGCTGGTAACACCATGTAATGCCTCGGACCACCACTCGTAGGTTGGGATACCAAGCCGTGGAATTGCTGGAGCTGAGTTAACAAGTTGAGAGATTTTCTCATCTAATGTCAGCCTGGAAACAAGGTCCCTAGCCCTTTGAATAATGGGTAGTGTGGTTTGGCAAAAAGGGTAGTTTTTGGTTGATGGGTCCGATGAATCACATGAAAATGGAGGTTGAGTTGAACCAACATGGACGACAAGTAGAGTGAAACTGATTAAGCAAACCAAACAAAGTTCTTGCAACATCATTGTGAGAATTGAGTGGTGGTGAAGCTGAGAGTACTTTTTAAGTTCAGTGAGAACTGAGATGTTGTCTCAGTTTGTTCATTTGTCAGAAATGAATGACCTGATTGCCCTTGCATTATACATTTCTAAATCGGTTTTTTCGGGTAAAAATGTAAAGATAAGCATCGTCCTGCCATCTTTCTTTATTCCACTTTTGGCTTAGGGTTAAGAATGGTGGAAACTAGGTTGTTAACTGGACCTTTCTTTTGATTGGTGAACGGTGAAGTAAAAGGTTTCCAAAGTGACACAGAAATGTGATGGTTTTAGAACGAAGAATTTAACTCGAGAAGCATTTCAATTCTAATTTTTTTATTAATTTTATAATTATTTAATCACAATAAAATATTATACAAAACATCATCATTTATAAATATAAATTTTATTCAAAATTTTAATAAATTTGTTAAAGATATTTTTAAGTTTAGAATATAAATCGATTATCTCCGCAACAAATAATTTTAAGTATTTTTAATTTTTAAATCGACGTATAACATCACATCAAATTACGTTATTATTTTATTTTATAAATTATTTATTATTTATTTATAAATAAAATCATTCAAGTATTATTAATTTAATTGAATTTTTTTTATATTTTGATCTTTATTTTGAATATTGAAATACAAACATTAAATAATACATTTTATTTTTGTTTCTATTCACTTTTTTTTTTTGTGATTATAAGATTTTAACCACTAATTAATTCAACACTAACAAATTTATTAATAATTAATTATAATATAATAAATATAATTAGTATAGGTGAAATTGCATTTTGTTCGATTCTACTAAGGGATTCGTGAATGGATATCTTGACTCGAGTAGTGGAGTTGCTTACTGTTACAAGGAAGAAGAAGAAGAATTACTATTTCAGAGGATCTTCATATAGTGAGAAATTCACATGGGGCGGTTCCTTTTGCACATACTTTATTTAAAAAGTCAATAATCCAATTTAGCATTTCATTGACGGCTAACAGCATATGCATTATTATGATTATCCTTATACGACAAATAATTTTAAAAAGAAAAAAAAATTCAAATCCTGCTCAAAAAGATTATGTAAAAAGCAATTGAATCAAATATGATAAGTATTACCACCATTTGATCTTTTAAAGAAAATCAATACCTACCATCTCCTTTTATACTAAAATGTAAGAAAAAAATTCAAACCCAATTTAAAAAATAAAATTATTTATTAATTATTAAATAAAATATTCGTATTTACACAGAAGATATTATTTATTTGTCATTGAACAGGGCTTAGATTTGTAGACATGGGCTTGAATGTATGTGGGGTGATCTGCTTCAAAAATGCCATTGATGGGGTTCTTAATTAGTTGGTCAGATCCAGCCAGCCCATGAGAACGTTGTGCGGCTGCTGGCACTGGCAGGCACTTCACCTTGCAATAATTTGTTGCCTTGACAATGTGAAAATCTGGGATGAAGATAAATCATGAAACAAATAAGGCAAGCAATTAAAAGTGGATTGTAGTTGCATTAGTGGCCAAATATTCAATTTTGAACCTCAAAAAAAGACTTGGTAATTAATCTGGTCTACTGGGACTGATGTAAACAAGAAGATTTAACAAAGTAGTCACCAAAGTTTTATTGGATTGTGCAATCTGCTATTAGTACTATACATGAGATTTTGAGATCGAATTTTACTTATAAATATTTATTGAGGTTTTCGAATGTATAATTCATAATCATTTATTTTAAATTTGATATGATATATTTTATCATGATTTAAATAATTAAATAATTTATTTATTTTGAAATTTTTTGTAAAAAATATATATATGTGCTGTAATTTATAAAATTATCCTTATAAATAATACTTTCTTACTAAACCCATCATTACAAGCAGCTTGTAGCCGACATATTTTGCCATAATTTATCCTTTTTCTTTTATAATTAATTTAAGTTATCCTATTGTTCATCTCACTTTCCTAATTCCCTACATTTTTCTACACAACAATAGTGGAATGTCGGTCATTAAAAATGACAAAAAATACTTGACGAAGTAATTTAGTATATACATCAATGATTAAAGAGTGATTATGGTCATTGATGTACTAAACAAAATATTGTTACCAAGATATAACTTGATATATAGTGATCCTAACTTATTTTTCACGTCGTATTGTACATTTTCATCAAGAGGGGACGCATGATTGATCTTTCCAAAGAAAGGATAGCCCACCGCCCACCACCAACTAGTAGCAAGGGGGCCAATGGGATTCCAACAACGTTGGCTATCACAAAAACACTCGTGACTCGTCCAATCTACTCCATACATCCCTTAGCCCCCCCTTTTTCCTTTTTTTTTTTTTGTTGGGGGGGGGGGGGGTGTTGTGGTTTGTTTTATTTGAACAATTCTAGGGAAAATCCAATTCTGATGGTGCATGACCCATCCGATGCACAACATGACAACAAGCACAAGCACGGGCACTTTTTTTTATTAGGAAAGTAATCGATTGAATTCAAATTTATATAATATTAAATTCATAATATTTAAGTTTTAGTTTATTTTAAATTTGAGATTTAAAATTTAGTTTAAATTTGATTAAGTATTTTTTAAGTCGAATTTCATTTAAGATAAAAATTAAATTATTCGAGATCATTTGATTATATTTATTTAACATGTAAAAATAAATTTAATTTTTATAATCAATAAAAATTAAGTATTACGAATAATCAAATTATATATTAAGTATATTACGAATAAAATGAATAATTATTAATTAAAATATATTAAAATATAAATATTCAATTAAGTTTATAAATTATTTGAATCAGATATTAAAATATTTAAATTTAATTTGTTTGATAAATTAAATTATTTAAATTCAAACTCGATTAGATAATAATTAAATTAAATTTCAATTTTATTTAAATTAAATCTAAATAATTTATAAATATTAATATATTATTTACACTCTTAACTTTTATCAAACAATTTTGTCATACACAAACAGTAAATTTCGTCGTAGAGTTTTATCATTTCGTGGGAGTGCAAGAGTTTTGTCATAGAGTTTCCTTGAAAAGATTTTTTATTTAAGTTTATTTGATCGATGGGAAATGAAATTGAGAGTGAATTTTTGTTTTCATTAGAATAGTTGTCAATCACAATCAAACCTGGCTGGAAACTCTTTCTTTCCATGAAAAATAGAAACAAGAAAATAAGAGATGATTTCTCTGCAGAGGGATTACTATTTGCATATTCTTTGTCTTCTTCTATTCTCTTTCAATGGGTTGCCCACCTGATCTAAGATGGATATATGTGAAACAAAATGCCCCCTATTTGATTGATCCCACTTTGATAATGGCTTAATGGAAAACAAGTTTTTTCCTCCTTTCAACATCCCTCCCTCCTAGTTCTTATCTTTCAATAATTTTATTTTTCTCTTATCAAACCTAGTGTTTGAAAAGGAGATTACCAACAATTTAACATTGTTGACATTGAATTTCAGGTTCTACAATGTTCTCCCACCCAACTACCTAAGAAGGGAGAGTCACGTCAAGGTAAAAGCTACGGTCCTGAAATTTATCTCCCCCCATCATTACCGATAACAAAAAAAAAAAAAAGAAAGAAAAAGTAATTAAAATTTTTTCCAATGGTGGAGTAGCTTACATGCGCAAGTTCGAAGATGATATTCTTATGTATTGATTTTTATAAAATTTGAAAAGATTTGATTTTAATATATTTAATATTAAATTTTAAATTTTTTTATAAAATTAAACTTTTGTGATTTTTAATGTAAACAAAATAAAATAAAATAAAAATTTTAGATGTTAAAAAAAAAAGATATAATTTTTTAATATTAAAAAAAAAGACAACAAAAAAAAGACAGAGGGAGTAAAAATTTTGACAAATGAGATTTGATAAATAAATAAATAAAGTCTGTTTTTATTAGGTTTTGAATTCAAATTCAAAACACCATCGGCTTGAATTATATAAAATATAATTTATATTGTATAAGGGTATTATAGTGCAAATATTAAAAATTATATTACACTATTTATGTTTTAAAATTTAACAAAAAAAAAATTTATCTAGACATGTTTGGGTTGTATCATTATTAATTTAAGTGAATCATAATAGAATTTGAAGTTTTAATTATTGAATTAAGTTAGGCTTAGACAAATATTTAAGATGTTGATATCATGTTTAGATTTGACTAGACTTATGAATACCTAATAAAGAGTTATTCTATTTTTTTTATATTTTTGGCAAGTAATATGCAAAATAAGAAAATTAAATTAATATAATATGAGATTCATTTGATTGAACTCATATGATTTTAATGATTTAATTGAATAAAAAAAGTATGATTAAATAAATGTGTATTTAGGTAAATTTATATCTCAAAAAGAAAAACACACACAAATAGACATGCAAACTAAAGGTAGAGATCATAGATGAAGGATGAATATGCTTTTGTCACCTAAGCTAATTCAAATAGGATGACATTGATTTCACCTTTATAAAATGAATTCAGCGTATATGGTATGCTAGTAATAAAATAGTTGAAAAGTAATTGTTTGTGTTGAACTTTGATCTTAGAGTATTTTTGAAAAAAAAAAAAAGACAATTAAAGGCAAAGATAAAAAAATATATCTATGTTTGCACTCTACAAATTAGAATGAGTGAGGTTGAAATGTCGAAAGAAGAGTAGTAAAAAAAATTATAACTATAATGAACTTATTTTAATGACGTTTAAACATTCATATTTATAAATAAGTCATAAGAGAGCATTAGTAGATAATAAAAATGTGACTGAATTGATATGATTAGATAATGTATAATATAAAATTTTAAAATTTAATTAATTTAAATTTGAATTAATTTTTTAAAAAATTAATTTGATTTAAATTAAAATTTAATTGTTTTTTTATTCATCAATTTTTTAATTTTATATATGATTTTAATATAATATTTTAATAGATTTAAATAAATTTAGATATGTTATCTTATAAAAATTTAAAAAATATATAAACATTAATAAAAATATATAATTTAATTCAATTTAACTTTTTTTGTTTGTTCACTTTTTAATTCAACTTTAATATATACATTTAATATTTAAATTTAATTTAAACTAAATAAAAAATATTAATTTGAATTTAACATTATAATTTCAAATTAATTTTTGATTTTACAAATTTTTTCTCACCTTTAACCATTGCCCGACGGTTCTATCTTAAGGTGAAGTAAAAACCTGATAATCTAAAATATTAAAAAATTATAAATGATATATTATGAAAATTATAAAAAAAAAATGATATAATTTAAAATTTTATAACAAATAAATATATGAGCTTAACAAAAACTAAAAAATTATTTTATATTTTTTATATCAATATAAATTATATTATATAAATTTTTATGTAAAATAAAATATAAATATATAAATTATTAATATTTGATACAAATTATCAAATTTTAAAAATTGAAAAAACAGGGATCCAGAGGCCAAGACCCCACCCAGGCCCCTGGGTTGATACCATTTGACCGACCAAAATGGACCAAAAGCCAGAAGGAAAGCGGTGGACGATAACCCCTCACCAACCAAACCACGATTGAACACTAACCCTGGTTAAAACTTTTTGCTTTTAATTTATTAAAATAGATAAGTCGAGGGACCCCTCAGCTTGTAGGCCACGTGTTAGAACCGGAGAGTGCTAAGCTTCTGGAACTCGTGCTGTGAGCCAACACGTGGACACTGCAGTGAGGATAATGGGCCTCACGAATTGCCAAGTTTTATTTAATTAAAATAATTAATGATTTTTATCATTATAGCGCGATTTAAGGTAAGTTATATATTACGAATTTTGCTGATGAGTTTTTAAAATTAATTATATTATTTACAATAATTTTATATAAATGAAGTAATTGATAATTTTATTTATGATTTTTAAAAGTATTTATTTAATATAATAAACTTAAAAGGTAACACCATATACTAATATTAATTATAAATCTCAAACAATGCCTATTAACGTTAATTTATTTGATTTTATTAATAATTTTTTAATGAAATTTGCAAGATACCTCCTAAATTTGTTAGGAACAGAAAAGCCTCTGCCAACTGAGATTCTGACAGCTGTCGGCGGAAATTTGTCATCAGGATTAGCAATTTTCCTTATGCATTTGATTGAAGTCAAATACAATTAACATTTTGGGAACGAATTTACAGAACTGTCCTTTTTCGTGTAAAAATGAGAAAAAAAAAAAGAAAAGTGAGAACAAAATGCTATGGACATGAATTTACACCGTGTTCAACGACAGTGGTTCTTCATAATGGATCGCAATGGATAATTTATTAAGTGTTCGTTTGAATTTTATTATATTTTTAATGTAATAAATTTTAAGTTATTATATTATTAGTTGAATTTAAATATCAATTTTAATAAAATTTATTTAATATAAAATTTTTATTAAATTTTTTTAATTATAATTATAATAATTTTTTAATCATAAATATAATAATTTTTATTATTAATTTTAATTTTATCAAAATTAATATTATCGTCCACCTAAATAAAACTTAAGTGAAAATTTTCAAATAATGAAAGAAAATGTAGGAAAGGATTACACGAAACTTTCAAGGGTAGTTTGGGAAAGCTAAAAAGGTTACTAAAAGAGATGAATTTTAGCCCTTGAGGTTTGGTGGATGAGGTTGAGAGTGGACCCTACAAAACGAACGGGATTCCATTCTTTAAATGTTTTAATTTTTTACTGTTGTCAACAGTCACACAACCCCGCTGCCTGGGCCTTCCGCTTCACCGCTATAAGTAGCGGAATGTGGAGAGACGGCGATGCTGTTTTCGCAAAATCGTCTAAAAATTTATTCTACTTCCTTCCTGATTCCTTTCTTATTAAAAGTTTTTTTCTCTTGTTCTTCGCTTAATCTTCACTTTAACGAACCTTTTTTAGATTCTTCATTCGAGTTGTGGCTGCACTCTCGGTCCTTGAACTGTTTTGGTTCTTTCTTTCTCTCTGTTTGGTTCCCGGGAAAACTGTTTTGATTCCCGTTCTTTTTGCGCCTTTTATTTTGTGTTTCTCTACTCTTCCCGTTCTTTTTCTTTTTAAAAGCTCTTTGTGTCATTTGTGATCTACCGTCTACCATTATTTGTAGGTAATTTTTTCTTTATTCACATTAATTCTTTTCAATTTTCAATTTTACCATTATTTGTAAGTAATATAGGCGTTTAAGGCTCTCTCTCTCTCTCTTTTTTTTGACTAAAATTTGTTTAACCTGTTCCTGACTGTAGAATAATGGAACACTTTCAAAACGACGATCTCGAATACGTTGTCGATGACTACTACGACGTTGACGATTTCGAACACGACGATCCCTTCGCCGAACCTGAGCCTCAGAGAGACACCGCTGAATTTGACTCCGACTTTGAAGATGATTTTGAATCAGTACTTTTTTTTTCTAATCTTTCACGATTATTCTTGATTCTCACGACTTAGATTCTAGAATCTGTAATTAAAATGTTTTTGCTTTAATGTTTCTGGTTCTTTGGAAACAGAGTAAGCCGCAAACGGATACATCAGCTGTGGAAGCAAGAAATGGAAAAGATATACAAGGAATTCCTTGGGAGAGGCTTAATTTTACTAGAGATAAGTACCGCGAGGCGAGATTGAGACAGTACATGAACTATGAGAACCTCTCTGGTTCTCGCAAAGAGTTGGAAAAGGTCAGTTTCTATATATCTTGCTAAATCTAAAGCCTCTTTATATCTATTTGTCTCGAGGGAGTGGAATTGTCTCCAAAAATTTTGTGCTAAATAATTAAATATACATGTTGTGTTGACAGGAGTGCTTGCATGTAGAGAAGGGAAAGGCCTTCTATGACTTTCAGTTTAACACAAGGCTTGTCAAATCGACAATTGTGCACTTTCAGGTAGACGATTTGCTCATTTACCTTCATTTTTTACTTTTGATCTACTGTTTGTTTGCAATTCCTATGCCATTTTAAGGGAGACGCATTGCATTTCTTTGTGTTGAGGTTTCCACTCTTCATCTTTTATGAGAAGTTTGTTCAAAGCAGAATTGGGTTGATTTTTAAAATGTCATGGGTCGGCATGTTCAATGTTTTGAACGCATATCAATTTTAAATTCATTCTGCACATAACTTTTTCTTTTCCCATTTTATTAGAGTCGTGAATCTTGAGAGTGTTTAAAATTTTAAATTATGTGTTGATTTTTTATATTTGGCGCTGTTTGCTGCCATCAGGTTTTCCACATACTGTTCTGCATCATCGTAACTTTGGTCTTGGTGATCCATGTAGTCATCCTTTGCAAATGGTTTGAACTTCAATTATTTGCGTGTTGTTAGTCTCATAGTTTTTCAGGTCCTGTTTTCATATTACTACACTTTATCCTTCATATTTTATTTGATTATTGCTCTGTGCCTGAACCATTCATTGTAACCTGGAAGGTATGCTTAGAGCTGCTCTGTGAGACCTTAGTCTTCAGTAGTTTTTTTTTTCCCCCTTTTGTTATAAAGGTAAATTATATGGCCTTATAGTTAACTTGGCAGGAGTCTGCTAATTTTAGATTGATAAGTTCTTGAGATTTGATTAGGGTCATATATGCTGTATTTTAATTCCAATTTGACTTAAAAAATTTTTGGACACATTTTTCTTATTCTTCTTTTAGTTTCAAATATTTTGATGTACCCCATTTGAGGCATCAAGATGGGGTTTGTATTCACATGAATCCTTTTTGTAGAGATTTGTGAAGGATGCTTTAGTTTATACTTGCACATGCTAACGGTTGTACATGTAAAAATTTAAAAGCAATACTTTCAGAGGTACCATCCTGATTATGGGTGTTGATGCTTCATGGCTGTGGTATGACTTGGGGTTTTCAAATTTTATTAACAAATTATAGTTGTAGAACTTTACTTTTGTAGTTGTTCTCAAACATGCACAGATTCACATGCTATGAAGAGTTTAACCACACACTTTCACAGCCCACTCCTGCATATGCTTACCCAAGCCACTGCTTCAGTGTCCTGCATCATCTGAGCTCATGATATTGACGAGTTTTTAACTATTTCTGGGACCTAGTCTTTTGTGGGTATAGAGTTGCCATGGGTTTTACATTTAGCTACACTCATCTGAACAAGGTACTAAGACATCTACATCACACTTGTTAAGAATCTAGGTGTTGATTTATCCGTTTTGCTATCCATTAATTTAGAGTCATTGGCATTTCTTTGGATTATGATCTCATCTTTTCATTTAGATAAATGGTTTATTTTTTTATTGTTCCTGTAATTTGTTGGTTAGAAGCATATTTTATGTTGCCTGTTAATTATATGAATTTAACCTGTGGCATTTAGGAATGCTATTTCTCTCTTATTTCAGCCTTCAAAGCAGGTTGGGAGTAATTCCTGAGCAGCCGGCTGCTAAAGATGCGTTGTTTATATGGTATGATAGGAAGCATCTAAAAGGCCTCTGAAGTGATTCCTGTAATTTGAGTAGACGGCATGTCCTGCACTTAAAGGGCGAATAACACTTAATTTGCTGGATTTTTTTTAAAATTATTAAATGCATTCATAGTTATAAGAACTGTGTTACTTTTATTATTGCTCTTGAGGGACGATCTGCTTGTTTAATTCAATTCATTTACTTGATTTACTACCATGAGATATCTTCTGCATGAGTAATCCAACTTGCATTACTTTACTTGATTTACTGTCCCATGTTATTCTTGGATGCTCTCCTTCAAGCGCATGCTGAAGTTTCCCCTCAGAATTTTTTTTGCATATTCTTTCTGTAATCAAGTTAGAGAACTGGTGCCATGTTCCGAATTCAGTTATCTTGTTGTGACTGAGCTGTGTATTTTATTTTTGCCCATTGGCTTTTGAACCTCAGTTGGGGGGTAAACGTGTTTATTGGATCTGTTTAGATCTATGCATTGGTGGTGGTGCTATGTAGTTTTATCATTTTTGGTTTTAACCTTCCGTCCCTTTTTCCCCCTTCTTTGTGATAGAGGTCTGGACTTGTAGGTGCATTTAAATAACCTCATTTAGGTTCTTGAATAGATGCTAGATTGTGCGGGCCCTAGCAAGGTCACTCTCAGTAACTGTGTGGTAATTTCTTTGTATTATGCTTCGTAGCAATTAGTCGGCATAAAAGATATTTCCAATATCTTTCGTCATTTTTGTTTCTTGTGGCAATTTTTTCATGCGTTAGCCACGGTGTGTGAATATGATTTCTCTTTCCTTTTCTATTTCGCAGCATATGCATTTGTACTGTTTGTTTTTGCACGTGATCCAAGGGAATTCATGTTATATCATATTTTCATGTCGTTGTGTTGAGTCATATTTTTAAGCTATATAGGGTGAGTTCTGACTATTTTTACCATCCTTAGCCGTGGGATAATCTTTCTGCATTATTCTCTTGATTTGCACAAGAAAGTCAATGGTGCTTTGTGCCTCTTGTGCTCTACTTACTAATTCTAAGTGATGTTGAGAGTTTCATGGTGTTGAATTATATTTTTATAGCTAATATCTGGTCTGTCCTGATTACTTAACCATACTGAACTGTTTATAATATTTTATGCATTACACTATGTCGTATTATAATCTTAACACAATTTTCTATTTCTCTCATCATTTTTGTTTCATGTGGCAAATTTTCTGCATTACAAACTATTTGTGAATTTCTTTCATTTTATTTCCATAATGGGTATTTTGAGGGAAGTAAATGTAGCTTGAGTTTTGTATGGGACATATAAAGTCTACCAAGGATCACGTTAATCGTTTTGACATAGGCATTTGTAGTGTTATGTTTTGCATGGGATTCGAATGTAATTGTCTCCTATCAAAATTATTTGAGTGCATTTATGGTTTATAGGTGAACTGTAATTATGGCCCAACAAATATTTTTGTAGTGACTATTTTCAAATTTTAGCATTGCGCACAAGAAAATCAATGGTTTGTCTTTCCTATCTGTAACCAGTTTATTCTAACAATACTGTTGAGCATTCCATTTGTTTGAGTGATTTTTTGATGTAATGACGTCGGAAGATGGAATTGCGACTATAAATTGTTTTGGTCATCGTATTGAGTGGTGAAGCTAGTTATAGTCTGTAGTTAACAGGAATATACATTTTTGTAGGCGGAAGGATTACGTGGAAGATGTATGGTCTTCTATACTTCCACATGAACAGACATGCATAATGATTTACTAATTTAAGATTTAGTTTTAATGTACTTTTTAGGTGGAGATCTAATTGTTTTATCTGCTTTCGTGCATTGCAGAATGCTGTTATTAGTTTATGGTCATGAGTTTAATTTATTTTTATTGTGCAGCTGAGAAATCTGGTGTGGGCAACATCAAAGCACGATGTATACCTCATGCAAAATTACTCAGTAATGCACTGGTCATCACTGTTACACAAAGGCAAAGAAGTGCTGAATGTGGCTAAGCCAATTATTCCCAGCCTGGTTAGTGAGGTGACTGTGATTAAATTTGACTTCTGCAGTTAACTTTCTTCGGAGGCCCTTGACTTAAATTCTTTCTTTTGATTTGTTTGTAGAAACGACCTGGATTGCTATCTCAGCAACTCTCTAGGGTGCAGATTAGCACTATGGCGGTTAAAGAAAATTTATTGGTGGCAGGTGGTTCTCAAGGGGAGCTTATTTGCAAGGTATGTGTTTGGTTCGACAGAAGTTCATTGATTTGATATTTTATTTGCAATTTGGCCTCATTTTTTTATTTTATTATTTTGTTTGTTCAGTATTTAAATCAACCTAGGGTGGCATTCTGCACAGAGTTAACTACTGATGACAATGCAATCACCAATGCGGTGGATGTGTACCGTAATCCTAGGTGAGAAATACTGATTCTCATATGAATTTTGGACAGTTTTGATGACATTTTGGATGGCAAGCAACTAAAAATTTTTATTCCTCAGTGGTGCAATGAGAGTTATGGCTGCAAATAATGATGCTCAAGTCAGAATTTTTGATGCTGAAACTTTTGCTAGCCTTAACCGCTTCTCATTCGACTGGTCTGTCAATGTAAGTGCTAGCCTTTTGAAGCCTGCTTTAGATTTCTATTTGTCATCCTCTTTTACGTACTTATTTCCTGTATGGTTGTCTGCTCTTTCCAGAATACCTCTGTAAGTCCAGATAGCAAGTTGCTTGCAGTCCTTGGAGATAGTGTGGAGTGCCTGATTGCCGATGCTCAGTCTGGCAAAGTATGTCATTCTTGCTCGGACTCTACATAATTGGTGCATTTTGATGTTCAATTCTTTCTATGTCTAATTTATTTGTATAATGCAGGTCACAAGCAACCTAAAAGGGCATTTGGACTATTCATTTGCTTCAGCTTGGCACCCTGATGGGCAAATTCTGGCTACAGGTAATCAGGACACTACTTGCAGATTGTGGGACATAAGAAACCTATCCAAGTCCCTTGCTATATTGAAGGGAATAATGGGAGCAATTAGAGCTGTCAAGTTCACATCAGATGGTCGGTTTCTGGTCATGGCTGAGCCAGCAGATTTCGTTCATATCTTTGATACGAAGTCTGGGTATGTTAATTACCAAGAAATTGATATTTTTGGTGAGATTGCTGGAATATCTTTTAGCCCAGATACAGAATCTCTCTTCGTTGGTGTTGCTGATCGCACTTATGGCAGCTTGTTAGAGTTCAACCGCAGGCGATATAACCAACATTTAGACTACATCTTGTAGAATGTGTCAGTCAGTATCCATCAGAGGTAGATTATTGTGAATATTTAGCACTGGATTGGATTACAAAAGAATCCACAAAGGGGAACACTGCCGCAGATGTGTTTTTTTTTTTTTTTTTTTCCTATTTGGAACTGGATGGCTGTAAATGTTAGGTGTCTGTCGAAGTGTCGTGCTAAAACTTGGGTTCCAGTTTTTTTGACCAAAGTCAATGTTTAGCCGCCAACTCCGTCACGTGGGGTCTGAGATTATTGGCTTTTCGTCCAAGATTAGGTCATTGATTGTTTCTACATTTTAATTTTAAACCCTTCATTTCATATGCCAGCGCGAAATATTTTGAATTCATGGTTATTAAGGGCTAGCTAGCACAACTATAATTGGCGGAGAAGCAGCTCTAGTCACTGAGATCAATTGCTACCCTAATCCAGAAATAACTTCTTTGATAGGAATGGTATTTTTTTGCGTAAATTTTTGAACTACCAAGTATTGTGGATGGCTGATAAAAAAGGCAAAAAAGGATAACTTTTGAATCTTTTTATATTTGATATTATCATGATTTAAATTTTGATTATTAAAATTAAAAATTTAATATTTTATTAACAGATTACATAGGACTGCAATATTACTGAGCTCTTTTTGAACCAGACTGACAAGAAAAAGCTACCTCAGCTCACATTTTATTCATCAATAAACCTGTGATTAGATTTTTTTGATTAATTATCTAATGAGTTTGACAAGCTCAAATAATTATTATTTCATCACTTGACATCCATAAATATAAACCAGAGTCCGAATTGGCTTCCGCTACCCTTTGATATTTGATTTGATTACAACTTTTTCCAGGCAAAGTAGATGAAACCTTTTAACTTTCTTAGCATTTACTTTGAGAACCTTTTTTCGTTTGCAAGACAGCATTAGCTGCCTTGTACATACCAAAAGATTAGACTGCATCTAATTTTTCCACTTGAAACTTGAAAGGAACTCATAAAATGACCTTCTTAAACCTAATAAATTAGCCCTCCTACATAGTTGGGCGGACCAAAGGAAAACTATCGAGTTTAAACATTTCTATTTTACTTAATTTTTTTTTAGAGCAAAAAATATGTGAGGATTTAAACTTCAAACTTACTTTGTACTTAATTTACTATATATGTTTTCATCAATGAAAACTAAAGTAAATATAGCTGAAGAACATGGACCTTGCTATATTGAAGGGAAGAATGGGAGCAATTAGAGCTGTCAAGTTCACATCAGATGGTCGGTTTCTGGTCATGGCTGAGCCAGCAGATTTCGTTCATATCTTTGATATGAAGTCTGGGTATGTTAATTGCCAAGAAATTGATCTTTTTGGTGAGACTGCTGGAATATCTTTTTAGCCCAGATACAGAATCTCTCTTCGTTGGTGTTGCTGATCGCACTTATGGCACCTTGTTAGAGTTTAACTACAGGCGATATAGCCAATATTTAGACTCCATCTTGTAGAATGTGTCGGTCAGTATCAATCAGAGGCAGATTATTGTGAATATTTAGCACAGGATTGGATTATAAAAGAATCCACAAAGGGAAACACTGCTTCAGATGTGTGTTTTTTTTTTTTTTTCCTATTTGGCTATAAATGTTAACTGGGTTCCAGTTTTTTTTATCAAAGTCAATGTTTAGCGGTAACCTCCGTCACCTGGGGTCTGAGACCGGAAAACTGTCCTGAAAATGACCCATGCAAAACCCAATCAAGAGCGCCCAAAATGTTGAGGATTGTCATTGATGAGGGGCAAGAACAAAGTCCAAGCCTTTGTGCAGGAAATTGACGGTGACCCCGCTGTTGCATGTCGGCAAGTTTTAATTTGTAGTAGGATTGGGAATGACGTATGGAAATCTATCTGTAATCTTCCAACCTCGGCCCAATTTATTACAAGGCTCAACTGCATTGTCTCCTATATGAATCGTTCGCTAGATTTACACCTAGGTTTTATGTAGATTGGCTATCTTTGCTTTGCAAACACTAGAATTATAGTACTAGACTAGATTCGTTCTAGTAATTAACAGCTTGGGTCATGATCAATTTGGTCATTGGGTTTTTCGTCCAAGGTTAGGTCATTGATTGTTTCTTCATTTTAATTTTAAACCCTTCATATCATATGCCAGCGCATAATATTATGAGTTCACGCTCATCAAGGGCTAGCTAGCTCATCTACAATTGGCGGAGATATAGCTCTAGTCACTGAAATCATATACTATAATTCAGAAATAGTTTCTTTTAATCGGAATGATTTTTTTTTTCCATAAAGTTTTGAACGAAACTAAAAAATAAGGAGACATTTGAAATTGGAATAAAATAACATCGAAAATAGAATAACAATTTCAACCAACCAAACTTACTATAAAAACATATTATAAAAGTGAAGAACATGGATAAATATTAATTAAGATTAGGATTAAATTTTGTCGTATTTTTTTCAAGTCAAAAACATTATTTGCGAGCATGAATGAATTTTCTACCCAGGCATGCAACTTGCCCTTTGAGCTACTAGGTATTGTGGATGGTTGATAAAAAAGAATAAAAAGAAAAGAAAACCTTTAATTTTTTTTATACTTAATATTATCATGATTTGAATCTTAATTATTAAAATTAAAAAATCAATATTTTACTAATAAATCACGTTACAATTAACAAAAACCTTCTAATATTGTTCAAATTTTCCTATATTTTAATGCAATGAAGAGGACATTACGCATCTCGACCCTCAGAATCCACAACCTCCCGAGTTGCTCTAGCACAAATCAACCTCAATAAGCCATTCCCGTTCACAACTTGATCATACCATAATTAAAACTATCATCTTAGTTTGCGAAGCTAAAAGTTCTCAAGGTCAGAATTCAAATGCACGCACGAAGACTGCAATATAACTGAGCTCTTTTTGAACCAGTCGAAGAAGAAAAAGCTACCTCAGCTCACATTGTACTCGTCAACAAACCTATGATTTGATTTTGAGATTAATCATCTAATGAGTTTGAACAAGCTCAAATTATTATTATTTCACCACTTGACATTCATAAATATAAACCAGAGTCCAAATTGGCTTCCTCTCACCTTTGATAGTTGATTCGATTACAACTTTTTCCAAGCAAAGTAGATGAAACCTTTAACTTTCTTAGCATTTACTTTGAGAACCTTTTTTCGTTTGCAAGACAGCATTAGCTGCCTTGTACATACCAAAAGATTAGACTGAATCTAATTTTTCCACTTGAAACTTGAAAGGAACTCATAAAATGACCTTCTTAAACCTAATAAATTAGCCCTCCTACATAGTTGGGGGGACCAAAGGAAAACTATCGAGTTTAAACATTTCTATTTTACTTTTTTTTTTTTTTGGTACAAACAAGATGTGGGATATAGTAAATATAGCTGAAGAACATTGACCTAAACAGAATATGGATTTTCCAAGAGGAATAATTTTTTTTTTAATTTCCAAGAGCATTCTTAATTAATTCAATATAGTATTATGAACCAATTGTTTAAAAAACAGATCGGGATCTTGAGTGGGTGTCTAGCAGGACAAAGCTCAATATAATTTTGAGAATTAGAAAATGGGCCCATGGGTATGGATGTTTGGATTGGCTCAGTTCTCAGCCTTAAGAACTCTAGGCCCACCACCCACGACCACCATGAAGATATGGCAGATTGTAGAACGTGAATACCCGAATCAAAACCCTTATTTCTAGCACGAAGAAATCGATGGACTAACTGTAGAATGTGAGGTTTTTGAAGGAATGATGAAGAATACATATGGACTTAACAAAACAATGGCTCTTCTGGGTCTGGTCCACCTTGGTCTTGGAGCTTGGATATCGTATATTTCTGGGTCACACCCAATCAGTGAGGTTTCGATTCAAAGTACCCTGGCATTTGGGTTCCCTTTTACACTGGCGTTTATGTTGCGTATGGACAATAACTCTTATTTTACTTTATTTTCCTTATGGTCTAAATTCACCACCGAAGATTTTGACACACTAGAAGAAACAATTTTAGTTGATGTTTCAACTTCAAGAACACAGGTTCTTCTTCAAATAAATGCCTGTTTGAACAGGGAACATTGATCATCTTTATCAAAGCGTGGCAGAAAATATAAGGAAACTTGAAGTAATTTGGGGGTTGCCATGTGCAAAGTCGTTAAAAAGTTGTATTTTGGAAAATCCTCACCAAATCAGTTGAAAAATCGAGCCTAGATTGACTTGAAATTCTAATGACAATGACAAGAATTTCACTGTCTTCCAGAAATTCATAGCTGGCAACATTAAGAAAAAAACACACACAGATACATACGTACGTACGTACGTGTATGATCTACTAGACTGCTTTCTTGTCTTTCATACCTTAATTTTATGAACATGGAAGAAGGTTTTCACAAATGTTTTAATCAGTTTGAAGTTCGACCCTTGAATAAAAATCTTTTGTTTACAAGGTCTAGCTAGGAAGCAGACACATTTGCTCCCTCGACTCTCACCTAACCAATGCTTGGATGGATCGAGTTGCCGGGCACTAATCTTTCTTTGTTAATAAAATGAAATAGACATGACAAATGGGGAGAAGGAAAAATGTGGCTTGCAGATTTACTAACACAATTTCTTAGATTCTTGCACACATCTTCATTCTCTTCCAATTATATATAGTAATTCGTCCAATGAGATAAAGGGTAGATTTCTTGGTTTTTATGGGGATTTATAGACTTTCAATTCCTTCTCATAAATCTCCAAGTTTATGAGATATGGTGATTGAACATGTTTATCATTGTTAATCTGATTTAACTCAAGCTTGGATCACCTTCTCATATAAACTCAATCTTCAACCTTGTAGTGCTTCTTTAAACTACTGAAATAAATCAAACTTAAAACAAGTCATATAATTTCAAACAGCTCAAAAAACCAGTTCATGAGCTTTTTAATTAATAAATTCACATTCAATCCCCAACTCGATATCCTCCTCAATCATCACCACCCGGCCATGCCACTTTCTGAGTTGTAAAATTTTCAGAGCTGGCTCACTCCCAAGTATTTCGCCTGCAAAACACATGGCTGGCCTGCCTCAACTCAGAATCCACATTTATTTGATGGGTCTACTACTCGTAAAGGGTACTAATAAACACAGATACTGATAGATACAGTCATAGTAATGAGACAATGGTCTTCATTCAACAAACCAATCAGCCATTGGTCTATATATACAAATCTTGTTTCCTAAAATCGTCGCCCAAGATAATTTTAAAAAGATTAAACACCAAACATGACTTAACCGACTAAAACAGGTATTACTTAATGACATCAACCCTAAAGGCCCATTTCAGAATTCTATGGTACTCATTTGAAACACGTAGCAACCATGAAAACGTTATGGTAAATTGTTTTTCTTTTCTCTTCCTTTCCAAATGAAAATTTGGTCCGATGTATGAAAATTTTTGAATACCCTTTTCAATTTTCACGTGATTCTTTTTGTGGTATCAAAAGAAAAACATGTTTGCTAGCTCCCAAATCATAAAATGACTTTTGGTTGTTTCAAAAAAGTGTGTTTAGCTTGATCATGGCTTTAATCAGACTTTTTTTTTTTCTTTGGAAGTGGGGTTACAAATGCTAGGAACCTATGGATAGATGAAGAGATACAGCTCATGATTTGGACAGAATTGACGTTAGTGGGAATTTGCCAATGCACTTAAACAAGATAACTTTGACTTGGATTTGCGTTTTAAATAGTCAGAAGTGGAAATTGAGTTTTGGGTTGCAATCAAAGGACTAACACCAGCTAATTATTCATGACAAATTATTCAACCAGTATAATCAAAAGTCCAATAATTATTTATGACAAATGAGGTTCGACCTTTGAAGAAGTAACCTTTTGTCAAGTATTTTGCTTTCAGGAAGTTACATATACAAATTAAAGTTATAAGAGAAACACCACTTACACCTCCTCTTATTTAAACGTTTTTCAAGTAGTATTTCTGTGTTTTTTATTATTAAAATTTTTTACATAGTTTCATGTGGTAAAATTTCGTTCTCACATGAGTTATAATGTTAATTTTGTCACTTTTTTTTTTAAAAAAAATTGTTTTAGATGATATGCTAACTTATCAAATATTTGGCATTAAAGTGGAATAATAGATTCAAGCCCAGCTTTTGTTTTTTTGTCGTTACATAATAGAGTAAGATTTGAATGTGGGTGAATTTAACAATTATTATGGGTGGAACTTAGCTTCTCTCTTTATTTTTTTAATGAATTATTAAGTAACATTTTTATTTCATGAGGAAATGCATTTAAAAAAAATTTTACTATTTCATGTAAATTAATTAATTAATTAATTTTTCATAAATTTATCAAATCAATCGCAATAACAATGAAGAGATGAGTGAATCTTTCCACGGAAAGCAATGATTTTAGCATATATGATTTATGACTTATCAACCATACCTCTCTTTTATAAGGTGAAAATTACATTAATAAAGTTATTATGTGAAAAGATTGTTTTCTAACCTTCAATGGGAGTTAAAATTTAAGGTTTAAAATTTTAATTTCTTGTAAAATTGCCAAAATAAACAGAGAAAAAAAAAGGGTAAACAACCGTATTGATGAAACTCATGGTGTAGTTGAAATTAAGAAATTAGGTTGCATTGATCTTTAATAGAGTTTTTTTTTTTTTCCATTTGAGTGCACTATTTATTTCATCAATTTTGTCTCAAAATTTTTATGATAAATTTAAAATTAAAGTCGATCGATTCAATTAATTCACAAATGACATATTACAATGCGGCAAAAAATGATATATCACAACTAAACTAATAATTATATAATTTATTAAAAATATATAAAAATTGAGACAAATACAATGAAAGTAAGACTAATAGTATTTTTTAAAAAAAGAATGACAAATGATCATCCCTACTATTTCAAGTTGAAATTAATGCCATTAAAACCTTTTCACCAATTAATAGAATAAAGTTGACATTACAATTAGGCATTAATATGATGAGTGGGGTTGGTCTACCAATAAGTTTGTAATATATATATTGTAAATAAAACAATTCTTCCATCAAACTGAATCTTCATACTCTTTATTGTGCGGCCATCGTGCTTGTTAAATCATTAGTAATGGAGTCTAGCAGCAAATTTGCTCCATTTCTTATAATAAAATTTCTATAAAATATAGATTAAACAAATATGATTACCAATAGAGACAATCATTGAGTTGGGAACTCGGCATGAACTTTTTAAAATCAGTTAGTTTTTAATTTTTGCAAAAAAAAAAAAAATTCTTTTTTTGTAAAGTTTGAATTTAGGATGTTTGAATTAAAATTTCTAAGTTTTAAAAAATTCTTATAAATAACAATAATATTTTTAAAGGAGAAGCGTTGACTTGGGAATTGGTGTTTGGATTCCGGATTTCCCCACCCGACAAAGTCCGGGATTGTGGTTCAACTTTGTCCTAAACCCAGCCAATTGGGTTAACTGACTTAACCAACACTTCTAATTTCTAATCTAATCCATAATTATTGGCCCACAAACTACACTGTTGCTTTATTTCTAACAAAACGCTATTTTCCAAAAGCGTGACTGTTACATGCTCACACAACCACCACGATGAAGGCTTATGATTCACGAATATCTAAGTTTCACAACACGCGCCGCCACTGAACGTGAACTGTAGAGATAGGCAGACTCTCCGCCACAGCCTCTGCACGTGACTTGTTCGCCGTAAACTCAACCACGGTCACCCCAAATTAACCTCGGTCGAGTCATCAAAAAAAAAAAAAACAAAACAAAAATGTAGGCACTTAAAAATTCTGCGGCTTTGGCATTTCTCTTCGAAAGCAATGACATCCAGTGGAGGGGATATAAAATGATGACATCAAGGCATAAATTCTTAATCCGACGGTTGTCATTTAGTTTGGCATCATATTCTTCCAAAGTTTGGATGGGTTTATAAATTTAATTAACAAATTAATTATATTTTGGTACGTTTTCAGCATCATCAAAATTATATTTAATTTATAATAATTAGGATTAAACATGAGCATGGTGGAAGGTAGTAGGCCTTGAATTTGTGACATTGTAATAATAATAATAGTTAATGATAGAGTGCCCACTCCCTCCCCATCTTTCAAATTGCTTCATTTTCTATCCTAGTCATCTCCGTAGTCCAAAGAAAAAAAAAGTTTGGATTTTAGCTTTCAAGTTTGAAATGCTTAAATATTCTGGTGTGATACAATATTATTTAATTATTAATTATTATTAAAATAAACAATATTTATCAACAAATAATTGTAAGAAATATTTTGATTTGGTGTGTTGTTCTTATCAAATTTAGTAATATATCACATAAAAATATTTTATAAATTATAAATAATAACATCTCAACTAATCCCTAATCTAATACCCATTTCCCATAATATTTCATAGATCTAAACATATTCTTTTTTAAATATTTAATTTAATAATTGATACATAAAATTTTCTTAAATAATAATTTTTTATATTTAATATTATCTAATCAAAATTTAGTGTCATTTCTAACAAAAAAAAAATTATTATTCATTATTATAATATTTTTCTTTAATAAAAAAGAAAAGTAGTAAGGAAAGTTGAGCGAAAGCGAGAATGGTCAACAAACTCTGAAGTCTGAAGATAATAAAATCCGTGTCAACTACGAGTGTCCACCGACACCTGACGGTAAAAGAAAGGACAGCTGTCAGAAAAGACCAAGAATTGTGCACGTGTCACTATATTAGTGGTTACAGACAATTGATAATTCGAGTCTTACGTCAGGAAACGAGAACTAAGTACAGTAGAGAGCGACGTAAAAATAAAATACAAACAAGGTTAAATGAGGGGGTTAATCATGATTAACAGCTGTGATTAATAGAGTTAATTAAGGAGCTGAACTATTATATAAAGTGAAGGGAGATGGGGAGAAAAGCCAGAGCGAAGCTGAGAGTCGTTAACACCAAAAACTTGAGAGAAAAAAAGAGAGTGTTGTTTTAACTAAGCACTTTGAGTGATTCTGGTTTTTGTTCTTTAAAAATCTTTCCCCCCTTTTTTTCTCTTACACCCCGCTTCTCTGAATCCCTTTCTGTTAATCATCTGTCTTTGAAAAAAATCTGATTTTTGGGTTGATTTTTGGTACTTAAAAAATTGTTAGAAAGCAAACTTAGACAAAGATTTGTTCAAAAGGCAGGTGTTTTCAGAATCGAGATCCAGGTTTTTTTTTTTCTTTTTTTTTTTTTACTTTGTTCTTATAAAGTTCCAATAATTTCTCTTTCCAAGCTAAATTTTAGATTTTTTCTGTAGATAAAATCAGCTTAGAGGGTGATTTTTGGTTCCTCAAAGTTTGATTTTTAAACCATCTTGGATTTCAAGGGGGTTGTCTATTTTATAAACCTCCTTAATCCTTTCTGGGCCTGTTCTTAAGTTTTGGTAAGAAACAGGTTTTTTTTTTTTTAAATTTGGTCTGTTCTTTTCCAAGTTTCAATCTATTTTTGCTTTTAAGAGATGGCAGCTACGATGGATTTCTACAGTAGCAGGGCAGTTCCATCATATATGTATGGGGGAGAGTTGATGGAAGCACTTGAACCTTTTATGAAAAGTGTTTCCTCCTCTTCCTCTTCTTGCCCTTCCCCTTCTTCTTGCTCTTCTTTCTTTTCTCCTCCTCCTCTTCCTTCTACTTCTTACCTCTCTTTCTCTTCTTCCCAAACACAACCCAGTTTTTACCCAGATGATTGCTGTTACTCCATGACAGTTGACCCATTTTCAGGTCTCCAACAGCAGCAACAACCTCAACCTGATTCAACAATTTGTCTGGACAACTTAACCCAAGCTCAGATCCACCAGATCCAGGCTCAATTCCACCTCCAAAGCAACCAACCTAGCTATCATTACCAAAATCCCCAACCCGATCACGACAGGAACAACAACCATTTGCTCAGCTTTCTTAGCCCCAAGCCTGTCCCAATGAAACAGGTGGGTTTACCACCGAAACCCACCAAGCTTTACAGAGGTGTTAGGCAACGTCACTGGGGAAAATGGGTCGCTGAGATTCGGCTACCTAAAAACCGGACACGTCTTTGGTTAGGCACTTTTGACACAGCTGAGGAAGCAGCCTTGGCTTATGACAAAGCAGCCTATAAACTAAGAGGTGACTTTGCGAGACTCAACTTCCCTAACCTTCGCCACCATGGTTCCCACATCGGAGGCGATTTTGGTGAGTACAAGCCTTTACATTCCTCTGTTGATGCTAAGCTTCAAGCCATTTGTGAAAACATGGAACAAAATCAAAAGCAAGGAAACAAGAAAAAATCATCAAAGGAGACAGCTGAGAACAAAAGCAAGAACAACAAAGTCCAAGTGGCAGTGCCTGAGCCTGAGGAAAAGACAGTGAAGGTGGAGAACTCATCGTCATCCTTGTCTCCGGTTCTAACAGAGAGTGAGGGGTCAGCAGAATCTTCACCTTTATCAGATCTTACATTCTCGGATTTCAACGAACAGCCATGGCCTGAAGTTGTTTCTTCTTCGGAAACATTTATGTTGTCCAAATGCCCTTCTTATGAGATTGATTGGGATTCTATTCTAAAAGCCTAAAAAGAGTATACTTTTCATTTGCTGTAACAGTCCTTCTGTTGTTCGAGGTTCTTATTTTTGTGTATTTCTTCTGTAAGCTCACTGCAATGGAGTTTTTGGCAGTTGCAGTGGCGAGTGTTTTTAGGTTATTATGAGTCTGTGTATGGTAGGGTTCTTAGTATTAATTGTGTAAGCTTTATGTGTACAGTAATTAGAGATCTCCATTGTGGTCAGCTCGTTTTTTGTCCTGCCGGACCAAGGGAGAAATTTGTCAGTGTCTATAAAAGTTGATAGCTCTTGTAATTGAATCTATTAAAGTTATTTATGGTCTTTTTATGTACTACTGTCATGGTTTTGCTCATATTTCTGATTGAACTAGAAGATGAAACTAAAATTGGTTAAAACTTTTGATGAAACTTGTTCCTAAGAAATATCATTGAAATTGTGTGGAAGATTGTTCAAGCGATAACTTTCCATCTATTGCTTGAATATTGACATCATGTAGTCTTAAAATCTACTTAGGTCGGTCAACAGTGAGAGGTTCATTTAAAAGTATCTAAAACATAAATTTTTTCATAATATTTTTGCTGGTTCTAGGAAACTGCTATTTACAGACAAGTTGCTGAAGAGTGAATTTTATGAATTTCGTCTCCAAGTATTTAATTTAATGATTAAAGGTATGTGAGGGAATATCAAATATTTGATTTTAAATTAATTTTTTAATTTATATTAAAATTTTGTCCTACTGATGTAAAAAAAAAAAAATGTAAATTTCTGGATATTTTATGTCTTGAAAAGTGTTTCAATCCCGAAACTGGCTCAGTGCTCACGAGCTTGGCACAAGGGGTTTTCTTGGCATCTTCAAACCAGCTACTATTATACAATATGTTAAGACAAAAACGTTAGTATTACATTTATTTATGTCTTTTACTATATTTTACTCAAATCATGGTGAATCTTGCAGGGGAACTTGTACCTTGGAGTAAAGTAAAATCTAGTATTCTAAAACTCTGTTCAACGAATCTGCCTGTGCTGAGCGCTGTGGTCACGTATATATTCTTAAGATCTTGTCTTACTCAAGAAAGGCTTTACTTTGAAGCAAAGCGTTTCCCAAAAGCTCCTTTCTTTTGATTGCTTTCCGTTATGGCTAAGGACTATGGAGGCACGCTTCATCATTTGGGTTCACAATCATGTATCTCACCACTTACACTAATTTCTAATCTCTACTATATTCCTTTTGAATGATCAAAATTATTTTGCAATAAAAGCACCAATATCTCCAACATAATCATGATTTAAACTAATAATCGCTTTTAACTCAAATTGAGATATTTTTAGATTTGAATTGATATTTTTTCCATCTCTTCTATGAATAAATGAAGATATAAAGTAGCACGTCGCATCTTCATATCTTGTCACACTTTTTCTTTGTTCTTTGCTTTTCACTATTTGTTCATTCTTTTCATAATGTGATAAAGAATAAGAAAAGAAAAACTTGAATTGCCCTGGCACAATGCGAAGTGTCAAAGTGTGACAAATCCTTTCCCGCGTGAATCAACTTTTACCTAAAGATTTTCATTTTGTTCATTTAAAATTTGTTTTTATATATATGTTGTTTCAAGCCTTCTTAGAAGCAAAAATCCTTTGAGGTATAAGGACAATGTGCCTCGTGGTTAGAACTGTCCACGAATCAGATTCTCTTGGATTAGACTTATTGAACTCAGTCCAGTTTGAGGTATTTTAATAACTTTATAATTATTTTATTTTATCTTAAATTAAAATAGTAAAACATTAAGGTTAATATTAAAAATGCTTCAAATCTATATTGAAATATTTAATATCATATTTAAATTTTAAAAAATTTTAATATGATATATGATTTACAAATTTTATAATTAATATGATACTTAACTCTAATGTGATTAATTAAATGATGATATATGATGAACAAATAATTTTTTAATTATCAATTAATTAACAGATTTATAATTTAAATATTACATTAAAAATTTTTATTATAATTTAAAAGTTATTTGTGATATTATACTAAAATATTAATATAAAATAATTTATATTAATAGCCCATTAGAACTTGGTTTTGACGTGTAGCCATAAGCAAGAGATCTAAAATTTGAAATTTTAAGTTCAAATCTTAATGTATGTGAGTTTGATTATTTAAATAATTATAATTAATTTAATTATAATTTAATAGTTTATTATTAAATTAATTATATGAATATAATTTTTTTATGATTATAACTTTAAAAAATAATTGCTATTAATAAAATATTTATGCAAGGTACGTTTGCAAGAGTTAGAATAATATTGTACGTAACCCTAGTTTCCATTCTTCGCCCAATTGAACCATGGGGGTTTAGAAATGCATACTTAGACCAATAGGAGACATTTTATGTTGTATTGTGCTCTCAGAACAAGCCCCGCGGAAAAAGAGAAGAAAGATTTCTGGTTTACAAATGCACCTTCTTATAAATGAACGATGAAATCAGTCTAATTCAATCATAGAATGTGTCCAACAAATTTTCAGTCAGGATTACAATTTACAAAGAAAGCTAATAACTGAACAGGGTAAGTTTGTGGCAGTGATCTTCTCATTTACTTGGTTCGATTTTTCCCCCAAGCACCTGTTACTGGCTGATGTAAAAACAGCAGCAATTTCCCGCTAGCTTGATCATTCATCAACTAAATTACCCAATTTCCATCTTCTTCTTTGATTGCCTTTTGACCATGGTATGATATATAAAAGAGTCTAAATATCCCCGAAACTATGAAAACACCTGAATAGAAAAAACTGGAACAGGTAATCAACAACTCCAATCCAATCAAGTGATTTTGCAGGGCATATCGATAAATTAAAAGCTTCCATAAATCCGTTCACAAAGCCATATTGTTGGAATTGAAGCTTTCTTGAATTAAATTCACGGGAGAAAATTGCAAGGATTTAATAAAGATGATGAAAAACTTGGAAAGACATCATCTGTTTTGATCCCCAAAATGAAAATCTTCAGTAAGAGTTTGTTCACTCAGTTATTGAGAGATGGTTTAGGAACTACCATACAGAACATCAATATGAGCTTCAATTTTCATTTTTTTTTATCTTAAGTTCAAGGGCTGAGGATTTGAACTTGTGAATTGTGATGCCATTACAAGGAAAAAAAATAAGAACAATATAAAGCATAAGAAACATATACATGCCGACGAAACATATACATGCCGACATCCAGCCGTCTGTTGTACATGGCCAAGGTAAAACGATTAAAGAGAAGTTAGCAAGTACATGGCCAAGGTAAAACGATTAAAGAGAAGGTAAAACAATTCTCTTTAGGTATTTATAAAGGAAAATAAGAGAAAACTAATGAAAAATCAAATATGTGGAACGTGATCCACAAAGATTAATTCAGCTTGTGAAAAGAGGGGTTTCTTTTTTCTTCTTAATTAAGATTCGTGTGGATATAGGGATGCATTTTAAAAAATTTTTAAAAAATAAATTAAATATAGACAAAACTTAAGGATGTCTCTTATTGCATTATCAATAAATATTTATAAATTTATAAATTTATAAACCTTATCTTATTTTAATGTATTTGAACAAATGTTAAAGATTAAGATGTATATTTCTCTTATTATGGTGATAAAGTATGAAAGGAAAAGAAAAAAAGGTATTACTATCTACCTTTACAATTACATTTATGTATGTAATTTTTTTTTTTAATTTGATTATATATTCCTATACACATGCACACATTTTCCTATTAGTTGACTTTGATTAATTAGTGCATGAAATAAATTCCTTACTAAATTGCAATGACAAATTATTTTTTCTTTTCATATTTAGAAATAAACAATTGATCGATTTGAGTCTAAAAATTCAAAAATTAACTTAATCGACCTCTTCCTAAAATATAATTGAACTAATTGACTTATTTTTGTAACAAAAAATAATTGAACCGATATCAAATAGATCAGTTCCACCAAAAATTGATTATTTTTATAATTTTTTCTATCATTTTTAAATAATAATTTTAAAACATTCACCCATTAAAATTCACCTTATAATTTTGCCACTAATTTCATATTTTCCATTTTTAAAAGTAATAATAAAAATATTATGTATGTGTATTTATATTATATATAATATATTTAAAATTTTATTAAAAAGATAAGTTAATCTAATCGATTTATTTATTAATTTTAGAAATCAAAAGTCAATTTAATTAATTGATTAAATCTATTTATTTAATAAATATTTATCAAAATCGAACTAATAAAATTGACGCGACAAATTTCAATGATTTCAATCAATCAAATCATTTTAAAATTAATTTATACTTATTCTTACATGTAATTACTTTTAAAAAGAAAACATTGAATAAATTTAAAATTCAAATTTCTTTACATGCAATAAATTAAATCTAATACATACATGATGAGCCTCAATTAAATATGAACGATAAAAAGAAGTATTACATACATGATGAGACATTATAAATTTGAATCGTAATTTTGTGTAAAAAAAAATAAATCTAATAGTAAATAATCTCCATGACCATGAATCTAACCCTATTTCAAGCCCAAAGTTTTTATGAACCGTGATTGGGCCAAAATGCTCTTCCTTTCAAAACTTTTTTTTTTCTATAAAAGCCCAAAAAGAAAAAATCTCCATGACCCTATTTCATGCCCGAATTTTATAATAAAAAATAATTAGTTCACCACAATAATAAGTATAAAGGTAGCAGATTTTTAGATACATATTCCACAATTATATGCAGATTCGAGAATTAAAAGAGAAAAAAAATGAAAAAAAAAATCCTATACCAGTCCTTCGAATTTGGAATGGAATTTTCTCAAGCAATTTATAAATCCAGTTGCATTAGAAAAAAAAAAAATCAAAGTCCATTGGATCATTGGGCTAAATCACTAGTCAAAAAAAAAAAAAAAAACTAATAGAGTAGAGACTAGTTGAGAGCGAACCACGAAACTTCAATTTTGGAATCAAAGTACTAATTATTCCCATAAAAATTTTCAATGAATGTAAAAAAGTGGAACGAAATTTTGGAATTTAATTCGCATTTTGAACATTGCTTTTGAACTTTAACTTGATTCTTTTGAAAAAAAAAAAATTGGCTTCTTTTCCTCTATTTGACCGACCACTTTTTTATTAGTAATTTTATTTCTTTTTCATAATAAAGCCACTTAAAAAAATTTTCTTTTTGATATATATAGATAAATTGCACCGCCGCACTTCGATACCATGACAAATTAATTAAAATATTTTTAAATTTTAAAACTTAATATTTGCAATTTTTTATTTTTAAAATTGAACAT